AAGTTCTAACTACTCTAATAAAATCATATATAAATTGTTATAGAAGCTTAATAACCATAATCAAGTATTAATTAAGTCTAATTATTATTATTGTTATTATTTTATTTTTATTTTCATTTTTCAAATAAATTATAAAAGAAATACAAAGAAATCCTAGAGAATTTTAAGAAAATCCTAAAAAAATCCTAAAGAAATCCAAACCAAATCCTAAATCAATCCAAAATCCTAATCCTAATCCTAAACCAAACCCTAAATGGAATCCTAACCAATCTCAAGTAATTCCTATAGCAGATTTAAACTTCAATAATTAATGAATAAACCATTGATTTTAACTCAAATTTTTTACACTTCTTAAAAATTAAATTGACAATAAGTTCAAAAAAAATCAAAAAAGATTGGAATAACCAAATAGACAATAACCTCAAAAATATACTCAGATGTCGGCTGACCTCCTTCTCTAACTTTGATGCCAATCTTCCAAAGCCAATTACTCCTAATTGAATTGTTACTTTGCTTCCAAAATTTTCACACTTGTTAGAAATCAAGCTGACTACCTTTGTAAAAAAAATTACTTCAATATAATTGGTGGATTGACAAATATCTAAGAAAACCTCACTCGACTTCAAAACCTTGAATTCTAAGATCATAACCCACAAAAACCTTCATGCTTTTCAATCTATTTATTCAATCAATCCCAAATTCACAAAATACATCAAGTACAACTATACCTACAAATAAAGAAAATTTCATCTATAGATCTATTATCAAACTCTTGAATTGCCCAAAATATCAATCCTATTTTATTTTCCAAAAATCAAAGTCATTGAAAACAACATCAACTTTGCAAAGCTCTTACAAAGCCATTATCAACTCAAAACCCTCAAAAGCAACGCCTATAGAAATCCTATCAAGTCTTCTCTCAAATTCCACTCTTTGATCAACCAAAGAACCTAAGAATCATTGTTGAGGCTTAGTTTTGTCCCTCAGGGTTTAATTTCGACCCTGGTTGATAACTGGTCTTCTCCGGGTATCAATTTTTGTCTCATTTGAGGTGAATTCTACTAAAACCAATTCCTAACTCCCTCCTACATATGCCTATATCTTTTATTTTTCTAATCTACCTTATTTTACATTATTTATGGCCTTACAAAGTAAATAGAAGCTACTTTTCTAAAAAGGCAGTATTACTACTAAAAGTTTTACTACCTTCCTATCTTTTATCCATATTTTTTTACTTTATCTTTTAACTTTGCTCTTCTATAATAAGATCCATATTATTATCTTTCACTATATAGTCGTGTTATAACATGATATTGTTTCTTTCCACTAACCATTAAAGAATATTGTAGAAACATCTATATGGTAATTAAGCTAATTGAAATAAATAGCAAATGTAATAACAATCTTATATAGATTTCTATTGGATAATTAAAGATAATATCTTCATAATAATCTCATTATATTAAGTCATCTTTTAGCCCTAATTAGAGCTAATATCTTCAAAAATTAATTTATTGTGATAATTAGGACTAAGAGATGATGTAATAGGATGGAGCAATGAAGTGGAATGCTAAGGGAGAAAGGCAAAATAGTTAGAGCATGTAATATGATTGGAGCAGATTTTAGAGATATCAGTGGAAGGTGTATAGAAATTGAAGGAATTAGATTCAAGCTCAGTAAAATTGAAGAATTTGTGATATTAAATAGTAGTATAGATGAGTAAAAAATACCTAAAAATAAAACCAATGCAAGAGGAGGATGATTGGTGGAAAGTATACAAGGTATATTTTCATCTAAAAATTGGACATCTTTAGAGACAATGACATGGCAATTGGATGGATTGAAATATTAGGCACTTTAGATATAATTATCAAGAGGAAGATAAATATAATATTTCAAATAAGAAACAAATTTGTGCCAAGTTGGAATAGTATCTATTGCATAGATAGTAGTGTTAAAGATTCAAAGGTAGAAAATATTGGATTTAGCATGAGTAAAATGTTCTCCGAGTATTACGTACAAGTGAGCATTTATAATATATCAATTAAGCATAAGACAAGTAGTTGAGATTGCTTCAATATATAGAAAGCCTAATCAATTGCATTTCAAGAAGAGACATCTAATTATGTCTTTCAAAGTGTGATTATAGCATTTAGCAATGCCATTATATTGGGAGGTACATGGCTGGATAAATTTCCAAAAAATGTCATGTTTAGTACAATAGTCATAAAAGGAAGTAGATGTATATTCTTTGCTATTATCAATACAGAGAATATAAAGTTTGGTGCTACATTATGATTCAATGGCATAATGAAACATGCAAAATTATTAAAAAAAATAAAAATAATAATTTATTTATTTTTTTTTTTTCAATATAATAAACAAATATAATCCAAGAATTATCATTGATAAAAGTAATGAAGTAATTGGCCCTACTAAGAAAAAAGATGTAGAAGGGCCTAGTAATATTAGAGTGAATTAGTTTAAGCATACAGTAGGATATTCTTAATCATGTTTTTGGAACTATCATATAAGATTGTTTTTCTTAGAAATAGAAGGTATAGAAATTTTTAGTAATAGAAATGGCAAGGAGGTAATTTATAGCATGTTATTGGATTATGTGGCCTAATTTGTAATGCCAAAGGGTAATGATGGAGGTAGTAGAGAGTGTTCATACCAAGCATAGTAAGTAGAAGTTAATTTTAGAACAATCGAGAAGGATAGTGCCATGAAAGTGGTAGAGTAGATTAGAAGTTTAATAGTTAGTTTGCAAAAATATTGTATATAATGAAAAATAAAGCCTGTATTTGATAAAAAGCCAATAAAAAGAATATTCTTTTTGATGGCCATTGCATACAAAAGGTGATCAATTTTTTATATTAAGTCATTAGAAAGGTAGATTGTTATATTGCCAATACTAATAACACTATGATTATGCCCATTGATTGAGGTCATTCCAAAGCCAATATGAGGATAAAAGGAAAAAAAAACTTTGGAGTTGGAAGTAATATTGTGGGAAGCATTAGAATCTTAGTACCAAAGGAAGAGGATGAACTAGATTCAATGATGTTAATGCCAATAAAATAAGCATCTACTACATCAATAGAATCTTTGTTGCAATGATTACTATCAATAGTAAGAAGGATACTATGGATGTCATGGAAGTAATTTTTAATAGCATTAGCTTGATTTGAAGGAAGCTTATCATATTGAACAAAGTATAGTCTAGATTTCAAAGAGTAGAGCTATTCCATTATAATGCAAATGTCGTCTTTAAGATCATCATGTTATGAATTAGAAGGTTGATTTGGAAGGCACTTGGAATATCAAAAGCAAGGGCAGCAAGATTAATGACTGTAAGTGAGAATGTAGCCTTTCTCAAATTAAATATAGTGAAGAAATTATCATCCCGAAAGTAGATTGCTACATTGATGAAAATAACTTGGGTTATGATTGAGATCATATTGATGGCTAATAAATTGAAGAGGTGTAGATTGGTTATAACGGTGCTTGAAATTATTTTGATAGAAAAACAAGAGCTTCTATGTCTTTCTTGATAGTCTTCTAAACACATTTTGATAGTTTCTTACTGAAAAGACATATTTTGAGTTCAAAGTAGGTTGATAGTTTATTGTTGCTCAAAATTATCTATTTGGTGATATTGTAGTCTAAGAGAAGATTGGAAATCATATACCATACTACAACTTATTCAAAAAAGATAATTCCAATATTCTTGAGGATGTCAATTATCTTCTTCATTTTTATTAAATATTCATCTATAGACATTATGCTTGTTTTTCTTATATTAAAGATTTTTCAATCAAATAAATTTTATAAGGGTTCTTGTTGGATTTGTACCTTGACATTAACACTTATATGGGCAAAGGACCATTTCATTATTCAAAGAACTTTGTACTTGGCATTATTGTTGAAAATACTTGAGGCCTACTCCCATCTTTTTTCTTTAGTTGTTGGAATAGTGGAGAAGCTAGGTTGGTACACTACTTACGTAGACCATTGCATTAAAGCACATTCTTGAGACACAAGGCCCACATTTTGTAGTTCATTATGTCAATGAGATGATATGACTTTGATAGTGTATACATGTATTATGGCAAGCTAGAGGCCATTGTATTGAAAAAAACAGTGCGGTGGAAGGAAGGAAGTACGATTAAGCTTTCTACCCTATTATATGTTACTAATTGTAACTTTGGAATTGGACCCTAAGTTCGACATATTCTAACAAGGTCTGTATCAGCAGTGATACCATAGAAAACGATGGAGTTCCTTTTCACTTTATCTTTTTTTTTTAATAGGAATGATAATCTCACGGAGGAATCTGATTCCAAGAAGTAAATTTTTAAAAGGTGTTATAACAATAGTCCGCTGTTGCCAGAGTGTAATGGCGTCACACTTAACGCTATGAAGAAACCAATAGGCAAGTGCTAACTTGCCATATTGGATAGCCCCCCACCATGTCAGCCTATCATTTCTGCGTAAAAGTTCATTTTCCCACGTTGAGCTCGAATCATTCACTTGGATCCACATGAATCAAGTTGTTGCATTTGTATTTTTGTATCATCTAAATTTTCTATGTAATTTTGATGCCAACAGCAATGTTAGTATTGGACAAGTTTCCATGAATCATTCCTTTCTAGATCTTCTATCAATTTGCATGAGTAATCAATGTGTCTACTATATATATCTATTGCACAGTTTCTTAGCCAGTGTGCATTTATGAGAATATTGAATTTAAGCAGACAGACACCTCGAAGACTTTCTTCAAATAACATTGAAAATTGTTCGCTTCTCTATTTAAATCTTTTGAAACTCCGTGCCTGTAATACAATATCAATACTTTATAAAGACCGAGGGAACGTTATACCTTCTATAAACTACTTATTTCTCAAAAAAATTAACTACAAGTTTGCTTACCAAGCCACGGAAACACACCATTTTATTCTTGGTACAAAGATATTTCCAATTTTGAAAACTGGGCATCATTGCAAGTGGACACTCCTCATTGTTTCTTTTCACAACCGAGAGGAATGGACAGTTAGTTCAAATAGAATATGGAAAAAAATTGCCTTTAAATGTTCATGAATGTTACGAATAGCAGGAACTCCAGGTGAGGGAGTCTCGACTAATAAAAAAAAATAGAATGGTGCGTAAACTACAATCTCAATCTGCCAACTCGTGACGGTCTCTCAACTATCTACAAAAATCCATGCGGCACATTGCTCAGCGCAGCCCTCAAACTCCACACAAAACGCGGAGGCTAAACTGGCATGACCGACGTTTCCTCCGCCATTCACAATTGCAAAGGCCATCTCTTCAGTGGGATGCGATAATGAACGAAGGGAAAATAAATAAATTAAAATAAAATAAAACCATGTGCGAAGTCGGTATCGTGTCAAATGTCGAGAGCTGCACAAATATGCAGCAAAGGCGCCCTCAACACAAAAACTCAAAATGGGGGATTGGAATGTCGTTCAGCAATCCAACTTGGTTCACCATGGAGGAGACGCTCGCGTTGAAGCAGGGTGCGCGAGGTTTCTGAGAGGCTGCGACTTCGAGCTCAGAAATGAAGTAAGGCTTGGGTTGAAGAGCACCCACCATATCCACTTGCTGCAGAGACCATAAGGACTGCTCCGAAGGAAAATGCGTGACCAAGTTTGCTCTAGGGAGTTGGTCGTTGTCGTGGATCAAGAGAAATCTCTGCGCCAGAGGGTTGAAGCTATCTGAGATGCCGTCACTATTACCACATGGACTGCAGTAAGAAGAATCGTCTGGGTTGTAGAGGGTGCTCGTCGGGGAGAACTGGTGTTCGGTATCCGCCCCACATAGACCTGAAAAATTGAAGCTAGATCCCACCGCGGGCAGAGACTGACTGTTACGGGTCATTTGAAGGGTGGGAAAAACGTTTGACCCTTCCAAACCAGTTCGGGGTGGCAGTAGAAGTGAATTGCAGTGTCTAGAAGCCATGAGGCGCTCGGTTAACTGAGCTGGAGATGGAAAAATGGGGGACGATCCTGGAATACGGCAGAAGCCTTCGAGATCGTTGGGGCTGTATGGTGGAGAAGCCACTTCAGACGCAGTGCCGGAAGCCACATCTGGGACGTCAATGGGAGAGTTGTCCGCGGAGTAGCTTTCCGGAAGTGATTGAGGTGCTTGCAGAGAGGACTCCCAGTCTTGCAGAAACTTTCGGAGATCAACAGGGTTTGCGGGTGTTTTGTCAAGCTCTACCTCGCCAAAATTAGGTCTCAGTGTCTCCGTGACTAGGTCCTTCCAGGAACTCATGAAGTTCGTCGACTCGTCTTGATAATTAACGTTGCTCTCTGTGCTCAGGTTGAGTGGTTGATGTTGATGCGAAGTCTGAGTTAATTCCGAGGTCGAAGATGTCAGGGACGATTGTCGAGATAGCCGTGCTTCCGCTTCTGCGCGTGCGCAATCCCATTGCGACATGTGGGTGAGGCTCGATGATACCACTGGCCGCAGACCAGTGATAATGTTGTCAAGCATGGTCTCCTCCGCTGTTGTGGACTCGTGACTCACAGGGTCAATTCCGATTTGCAGGAGTCTCTTCTTCAAGTGAGTGTTCCAGTAGTTTTTAATCTCGTTGTCAGTGCGGCGGGGAAGATGACTTGCTATAGCAGACCATCTACATTTGGGAAAAGAATTATTTAGAAATGAATACCAACACAAATAAAAATAAATTAAACAATAAAAAAATAAAAACACACTGGGTCTTGGTCTATATCACACACAGAATCCCATCAAATAGAACTGCAATGTGAAAGTCCTTCGTAGATGAGTTTTATGTTCTCTGACCGAAATGGCATGCTCCCAACTATGAAGTGAAGAGCAGCGAGGAAGGCATTACCTGTTGCCAAGAATCGCATGGAGGTGAATAATCATTTGATCCTCGTCCTGAGAGAATCTGCCTCGCTTGATGTCAGGTCTAAGGTAGTTGGTCCACCTCAACCTGCAGCTCTTGCCACATCGTTGAAGGCCTGCATTGAGCGGAAGAGAACGCCAGCTCCCATGGCCATGGTTTTGAATGTACGCCACCAGCTTCTGATCTTCATTGGGAGTCCAGGGCCCCTTCTTCAGCCCCTCTTGCTTTGCGTCACAGCTTGGGGGTCTGGTCATGTCTGTCGATGATCCGCACCAACCAATGCAGTTGACCGGAGACCACTACCCCTCACAAATACTTTCGAACTCAACCAGATTGCGCTAGAACGGCATTGAGATTAGAAATCACGATGGTAGAGTAGATGCAGTATCTTTCAAGTGAAAGCTGAGGAATGGAACGGAATCAGAGTGCTTACAACTAATCAGACACGCACACCGACACCATAGCTCTACCTCGGACCATTTAGACAGTTCTCTCACACTGGGCAGCAGTGAAGCACGAAGTGTAAAGCAGCTAGTACCTACGAAACTTTGACATCCGAACTATTGTGCTCATCGGTCTATAGCTTGGATTGCGTGTGTTTGTTTGTTCAGATTCGAGACCCACAGGGCAACATTTGCGAAAGGCTTGCAGGGGAGACAAACCGAGAGGCAATGCTTATAAGGGAGACACAGCGCAGCAACTGAGGGAGTCTCTATGTACATATATAGAGAGTCCAGGGGGGGAAAGGAGGTCCAGAATCCAACGAGGCTCCGCTGCTTGCGACGAAACAACACGCTCCGAGGTCAACTCCGGGAGAACGAGGCCATACACATTCGGGAGGCGATCTGACCCGTAGATGGTCTGACAATCCCCATCCAGTGCGCGCCCATTGCAGGGTGCCTCTGAGCTGCCTGGAATTCTACTGGCCCCACTTGCATCTATCAAGGTGACTTATCCTGGCTGGGACTGGAATCTTCCGGGCCCCTTTTCTGCAGCTCCATTTCGGTAAGCCTGACGATGTCTTGCTTACTGCAATCCCCGCAGTTTTCGAGCACCCTGCACATGCTCCACCTCCGCGCTTCGCAGCTAAACTCCAAACGACTTCTGCCCTCTTCCCACAAGGTGCCGGTCCATGACTAGCCCTGCCCTGCCCTGCCGTTCGGTGCCCCTCCTCGAGATTGCCCACCTGCAGTCCCTACTAAAACCCCCCCTCACATTCATAGTAGAATAGCAATCGCACCGTAACATCGTAGACTCACGTTGTTTCTCCCTCAGCCACCGAGAAAATTGCACTACATCCTCTTCCTGTGCTTGACAAAACTCGTCCGGTTGCAGTGTCAAGGAAGCGGCGCCGAATCAATCAAGGTCCCCAGATTACGTGATTCGTAGACACACACACTCGCATTCTCGAGCGAGGAGGAATAACAAACAGGCTTCGCGGTTTCACCCCGAAACATCCTTCACCCTTTCTTTCTAACTTCTCCGCCGAGACTCATTAAGAAAAAGTATCATTAAGAAAAAGATAATTAAGAAGAAGTATCCTTTTTGTAACACATCACCATAAGTCGTAAGATTTAAGGTATCAAAATAGTGGAAAGTGAAAAGTTATAAAAAGTTAATTATTGGATGAGTTTTTGTTTTTGATTTAATATCTTAAATTCCACTACTTATGTTTGCAAACATATGCATAATTATCATTTTGCAATTTCTATTAACTGTAAAATTTCTCAATAAACATTATTTCAAGAACTATTTTTAATTTTTATTTTATTTTATTTTATGCAAAAAAATCCTTTTAGATGCAAAATAAGGTTTATACAACCAAATTATTATGTCATGATATAAAGATAATTTTTCTATTTTTAGTAAGTTTATTAACCAATGTTTGATTTTAAAATGGATAAATTAATAAAAATCTTCAGTAATAATAATCTTAGAAAATAACAACAAAAGATGCACACAACTAGGACACAATCTCTTGCTTCTTTAGAATTTTCTAAACACAACGAATATTATTGGTGAAGTTTTCAAATTTCTTTAAAAGAATAAATCATGAAATATAGAAGCAAAGAGTTGCTACCTTTACCAAACAATTATAGGCCATCAAGCCAAAGCAAAAAAATATTAGAAAAAAAGATTGAAGCTTAAGAATCAATTTCTTACATAATAAAGATATTTTCTACAAAATAGATTGAAATAAAATTAATTAGAATTCACATTGAATCTTTTGTAATAAAATTTATTAATTTTAAATAAATAAATAAAAAGATTAAAGGGTTGTGTAGAGATAGGTTTGTTAATTAAGAAGGTATATGATTGTACATCAAACCAAAAAAAATCAAAGAAGTCATATGTAAAACTTGAAGAAAATTATGATTCAAAAGATAACAAAACATCAACATCTGAAGATACTAAATAACAATCTAGTAGAGTATTAAAATAATAGAAATGCCATTAAATAAGTGATTGACTAAAACAAATAATAGTTTATTCATGCTTAAGAAACCTCTAGAATATTAAACATAAAAATATATAAGAATAATATACAAACTTTACCAATATGTTGGATGTATTGACAATAATTATATAAGAAAAATAGAACTTTTTTATAGTTATATTAAACTCAAAATATGCACAATCATAACATTAAAAGATTTATATCAAGTACATGTTTAGGTGTAATAATTTTTAAGTTATTAAGATACATATACATTGATTTTAGATTTAATTTAGCAATTCTAACTTATTTTTTAAAAGCTTTTTATAATTGTCAATTATAATAATCTATGTACATTATTTATACAATATATAATTTTCAATTTCGTATGCTTCTTACATGTATTATATTTCAAAATTTGAGTTATAAAGTTTTCAACACTTATGGAAGGCATAATTAGAACATGAAAGGGAAATGCTTTAATTTCTACATATTTAGAGCATTACTTCTATGTCAAACCATTTTTATTATTATAGCCTTACATTTGGCACAAATATTAATCAATAATATTTTTTTAATCAATTGATCTTTTTTTTATTAAAACTTCTATTATATTTTTGCAATACCAAATTCCATTCCACTTAATTAGCATTAAAGAGTTTTTACCTTAGTTTTGCATTGTATGCCATTGAATCCTCTTTTATTTTCTATCCATCGTTTAAAGAATCAAAAGTGATATCATTTTCCAAATTAATATCATAAAGATTAATAGTTTTTGATTTTTTATATTTTCCTTCTACAAGAAGAACTATACTAACACTACAAGCAAATCCATCCAACTTTAAAGGTGATTGTCAACAATCTCTTTAAAGACATTTTTATTTATATTTCTTCTTTTTAAAAACATGTAATTGAATTCCTTTAATTCCTATAATGTTTTTATAAAAATATCTATTTTTCTTAAAAAATAATAGTTAAAATTTTATTTTATGACTTGGTATGTAATATAATTTAATTCTTTAATTTTGGTAATTGTGAACCTAAGTATAGGATGTCATATTATCTTATGTAAAATAAATTAAAATTCTTCCCAAAAATTTTTGTTTCTTGTCTTCCAAGGACCATTTTGATGCAGTTTCAAAAAAAAAAAAAAAAAAAAAAAACTCCTTTTTAATTTGTGTATATTTTTTTTAATATGCTGCATTCTTTTTTATACTATTTGATCACTTTTTTTTCATTTAGTTTAATGTCATTTAATAGATGAGTTGGATTCTACTATAGGGACCTGATATTAGATAGAAAGATTTCAACTTATGTAGTTTTATATATTAGACCATTAAGTTCCAAACTTCGTTGATCAAAAACAGATTTATTGATCTTGATTTGCATTTGAGATGTAGAAAGAAAAACCATCTAAAGTTTAGCCATTAATGACCTTTCTTATGAGGAGTCATGCATGTTACTCAACATCTTAAAAACGAAATGGATTTTAGTCTCATTAGAGTTCAAATCAACCATGATCCATTTTGCTAATAATAATATGGGTGCATCTTCCAAATTGATAAGTAAATGCCAAACCCTAACCCCCCTCCTTCCTTTGTTGGCTTATAATCCTAATTCCACAGAATTTTAGGTCATGTTGTAGATTAAACATTTCAATATATAAAACTTTCTTACCAAGGCTTTAATTTGTTACACCATCTATTTTTAGTGTTATACATTAATTATCTTTCAAAGATGGAATGGTAGTGGGAGTTCAAACTTTCATGTGCATTTACTTCTTGACAAGAAGTTCATGTGGTTTCTTCTTTATTGCAATAATTTAGGGTTTGCACTCTTTAGCATTTTGTTTTGGTTGTTCTTTCTTTTTTCCTCAGAAACAACCAGAAGACTTTGGGCTGATCTCAAAAGATGGTCAATCATTCAAGCATAAAATTAAAAATAAAACAGAGTGATGTCTTTTAAATTTCAAAGGGAACAGAGAGAAATTTCAAAAATAATATAAATCATGTAACCTCATGTAATGGTAAACATTTATCTACTTCCTAATTTGCACATAAGTGAAAAAAAATAAAAAAATAAAAAAATAAATAAAGTTCAAGAAAATTCTTAGATTCGTTGGAGAGATGGATTTATTATTCAACATATAAAATGCACCGTTCCCTTCTACATGATTGAAAAAACAAAAAACAAAAAACAAAAATAAATAAATGCCTCCACTAAAAAAATTATTGGATGTGTAAATTTGATGGAAGTGCCTTTTGTAGTTGATCTCATGCGTCCTCATTGCTTTCTCTTTTTTATCACCTATCTATCAATTAAAAGTCAAGTAGATGAACATTTTTTTTTTTTTTTTTTTCACCTAATTTTGCATGGTCCACTAAAAGGAAAATTGCAATTAAGGTGGTGGAACTTTCGAGGTTATTAATTCATAAGCAACAATGGAATAAAAGGCTAAGAATCTTTTGGGGAGGCGTGATCTTACATGGAAGTTGACATGCTCTCAAAAGAAAGAAGGAAAAAATGAACTAAAATTAAAATGCTCGAGTGAGATCTTGTCTCTTGACCCCAATTTGACCCAACAATCCTGAACGTGGCTTTAATGAATTTGTCAGCAGCTGTGAGTCTGACATTGTATTTACATATTTTCAAATAACCTCCATTTATTTTTTATTTTTAAAAATAAATTATGGTTTTTGTTAAACTTACACAATCTTGTAAACTTAAAAACATGGATTGCCATTTAAACAACAGAATGATTTTTGACAATTTTATGTTTTTAATTTGATTTTCAGTATCAACCAAATTTAATATTTAAGCAAATATTGACATGTGCCGAAAACGTTTTAACAAACATGTGACTCTTTACAACATTCTTCTGTTATATTACTAAGAATTCACCAAGTCAAGCTGCAAAAGAATATAATAATAAGTAGCATTGAGACATAGACTCTAATTTGCAAAATGCTAGAAATCCAGAGCACATGAGTTTTCTGTGGCTGCCATGGGCTTGTGCAGGAATCTTGCTCTCTCTTTCTGAATCTGTTTGAACGCTACATTACAAAACCCATATTACCATTTTTCTAAAACAGGGGCCATGAAAGAACATAATGAAGAGTGAGATCCTCATAATTAAGATTCTTAAAGAGGGCGATTGTTTTGAGCTCGTCACTACTTGACAACAGATAAGTTAAAACACGCTCCACTGCTTTGAGAATATCGATGTGGGTGGCTAGAAAAAACACTCTTCTCAACTTGTCATGAAACAGGAGGGAGAAAAAAGAAGAAGAAGAAGAGGGGAATCTATTTAGAGCTCGAGAAAGCGTGTTGCAGAATGTAGAGGCAGGACGAACCCATATCAGAGGCACCGAAAAGGTATAACTTAATGCGAGAAATGTGAAGCGTGTGCTTACCAAGTCTTGACAGTGCGAGTAACTTATCACACGAGATGCATGCATTGGGCTGCAGAGGATTTCCCTCTTGCGCGTGATTGGTGATTGTATTGATACGGTGGGTGGATGGTCTTCTAAATCACCAGTCTGCATAAATCTAGATCCGGGCACTAAAGCCCAACGCGTCGGAAGGGTGTGTCGAAGGTTAGTACTGTGAGGAAAGGATTCACAACGTTGGAAACTGATGCGAATTTTTTAGAGTGGGTGAAACCAACAATGCTGGATTCGATGATTGACGAGGCTGCTAACTTGCATGGGGTGGAAGCTTTGGACCCAAAACATACCAAGCTGTTGAACAGCTAGCTACGTCAACCGTATAGTTTTGATTGGCACAGAAACAGAAGAGACCAGTAAAAACCAGTTCTGACATTATCTGGTTTTGATGCATTTAGATGTGTCGGAGCCTTCGTACAAATTTCAACAGTGTAAGTCCAAAAGCTAGAAAGAGCGCAAAGAAGACGTGCCCCACCCCACGCATGTACATAAAGACTGTAGTCCAAGTAAAATTGGATTAAAAGCCGTAGTTCGACCAACAGTTAAAACCGCTCTCCAAATCGGAAAAAAATTGCCCCTGTGCCGGCATTGCAGTCCCTGGCATACTCGGCTCTGATAGTTCCTAGCTTAACACCTAAACCATATGAGGCTCCCTTCCCAGCGCGTCTGAAGAATTCCGTGGGATTGCCCCGCACGTCTTTGGAGCTTCCAAGGTCAGTTCCATACTCAAGAAACCCGTAAGCGTGGGTTGTCTTCACTGGCACCCGCAACTCCATCGCAAGCTAGAGAGCAGCATGTAATACTTTAGAACGTTGCAGCTAGACATCAATCTACTAACTAGTAAAAAAAATTCTTGTGTGCAAAAAGAAGAAATAAGAGCTAGTACGTGAATAAAAAGATCGCATAAAGGATGCTACGGAAACCTAAAGCTGTAATATGGAAACACGAAATTTTAAACAAAAAAGGGTGGACTCATAGTGGATGTTTACCTCCAGTAAGTTCCGAGCTGCACCAAGCTCACCCATGTTGTAACCACGAACAGAGTATGGACCTCCTAATGTGAAAGCATCATAACTTGCCAAGTCTCCTAGACATCCTCCGTATCTTGCGTGCAGAACTCCAACTGGGGGAGGCCTCTCAGTGTTCACCTTATCCTCGGATAGCAACTGAATAAATCGAGTTACAGCAAGTTGATGCCGATTGAAGAAAGGGTACTTACTGCCTATCCCTAGGCCTTGATCCACCTGCAATTGGACAAGTGTGACAATGAACTTAGAATTGATTGCATAATTAAGATTGCCATAGAGTGAAGCCGCTAAACAAACCACTAACAGTAAATCTTTAACAATGAGGCAGAATAAATTTACATAGGGGATGGACAAAAGAACCCTAACCTGGAATATATGACGATCTCCAATAGGAGTGCCGTTTACAAAGCGAGTGTTATCATGTGTAAGGTTAGCTTGCAAAAATGCAACGCGATCAATGCCGGTGTCACTGTGTGTGGTGGGAGGACCAGAATTAGAGAGAGCACCACTTGGCAAAGTACGTGGTCCGTGCACACAAATGGAGCTGGTTTCATCCCTTGTCGTTACTTCCTCTACTACCAGCCCATATGTGAACTTACTTTGCCGGGTGAAGCACTGTGCAAGCGAGACAGACACAAACATTATTCCAGGTTGCAATCAAAAGTTGGGTAACAAAAACCTGATCAAATATACAATCAAGAGTTCAATCCAGAAGTCTAAATAATGTGCTCTGGGAAGTCGACTGTAGAAGGAAGGTAGACAACAACTAATTTCATGGCTATTGACACGTTAACCGTGGTGGTGGCGCAGATTATAGAGACTCATGAACTAGTGCTTCGACACATCTGAATGCTGATTTGACAACAACCTCAAGACTTCACCACAGTAACAAAACAGAAGAGTCCATAAGAATCTCAGGTACTTTGAAATGTTACCTCAGTCAGGTTGGCTTTGAACCCAGCCCGGTCTACCCACACTGAGGGGACATCCTCCATACCTGGTCCTCCTGTGAAAACAGCACTCAATTTCCGACTGTTGAAGCAGCTGGCACGAAACGTCCGGTTACGAGGGTCATCAATACCATCCACATAAGGATGCACATACTCTGCCTTGAACCCAAGGTCATCCTGCACAATAATTCAACCCAAATCAATACTACCTCGCAAATAGGGACGTATGTAAAGAGCGCTCGAGGACCCGTGCTCGTCAATGGCAGCCACACCCAGTCCCCATGTTTGACAACTTGAGATGATATTCGACATGATTTTCATGAACTATTCACCAGCAGCGATTCTAGCACACATTTTTCGGATTTTTAGCATGTCTATACTAAGATAAACTTCAGTAATAGATCTATTCGGTAGTACAGTACCTGAGGGTTGAAAAGGTTATTCGAAGTCACAACGCCAAGTATAGACCGATTTAAGCCTTGAATGTTCCGATGTTCAAAGGTGACGCTCCCAGCCGGTTGGATAGTAGACTACAAATGCCGAGTACAGAATCAATGAATGGCGGGCAAGGAAAGTCTAGTATAATTAGTGCCTGGTGAGGATTGAAACGCGAACAAACAGCTAAATATGGTACTACGTTGTATCCAAAAGGAGGCTTACCAAAGTTGGCCGTCCAGAGCTACCAGGAATGATGCTCCACTCAGTGCTGACCTCTGCTGTCCTTTGTTCCAGCTCCTTCAGCTTCACTTCGACCACAATGCCGCCATCGTTTTCCTCGTCTGGTCTTGGATTGACCTCGATGTTTGAAAATAAAGCCAAACTGTTCACATTCCTCAGGGCTTTTTTACCAGCTTCGATATTGAATATTTGACCTGCTTTCAGCTGCAAAAAGGTACATCCAAATCAACCCTAGGAATTCAAAATCTGGGGATTTCAAATACAAGTGATAAACTCAGTCGTTCAAGATTACAGACCAATACTGCACTTCACAACAATTTCAGAATGTAATTTGATAGGTACAAAGTCAACTATGATTGTGGTTTGTTGTGTTGCAAGCAATCGAGCAGGGGTACATGCTTACTTGATCTGGTAGCTCCCGCTGGATAATCTTCTTCTGTGTAAAACCGATAGCAGGAAAACCCAGTTTATCCTGGAACTGAATCTGCACTTGGGTGATGTCACCTTCCACTACCTCACACACAACTTCATTGGTATTCAAATTTCCAAAGTTCACCACCTGGGCGCATGCATAGCCTTCATCGTGATACCATTTCTGCACACGATCCCGGATGCGCTGCAACATGCGGGCAGTCACCCTTGTCTCACTACGAAGCCACCCTGAAATCTCACGCTGAAACACGATTGCAGAGTCAGATATATAACACGAATTATGTATAACGGTGACAACTTGAAAATCTTTCTTTGTAAATTTCCAGAAGCAACTAGTGAGGCAAATCACAAACAGAGCGGTTCTTTTGAGGACTACAAGTTGCTGATTCAACTCAAAACCTTTGAATCTCATTACAGAAGATGGTCTAGATGCAGTTCTCTCACCTCTACACTCTTAGGGAGCATGCAAGGGCGTGATTTCCTAAGCCTATTCTTGTACTCTTCTTCTTGTGACTTCGCAAGTTCTTCTCGCTGTTTGTCTGTTAATTTTTCTTCCGACTCTGGACCCCTGCTTTGGGCCATCAAGCCCACATTTACACACCTGAAAGAATCAGCTCCCTGCCATTGGCTTTCTGTGAACATAATTTGCAGTTTCAAACTTCCATCCAGCTTAGTAACCCCTTCCATCTCCACACTTTGAAACATTCCACAATTCATCAAATTCTCTGATTCTGCATCCAACTGGGCTTTAGTTGCAATTCCACCCCTTCGTAAGGTAACTAGCTCGTAAAATGCATCTTTGGCATCGATGGGCTGCTTTGTGCGCTTATCTACAAGTTCCACTTCGGAAATGCGATACCGCTTGGCTGGATTAAGCCTACTGACGGGCACATTACGACCAACTTGTAATCCATGAGGATCAAAAGCATCACCCCCTTCTTCATCATTTCTCGCATCTGCCCAAGCAATGCCACTATCCAGCCAAAACCTCCAGCCATCTCCACCACCGCCGCCTCCCCCGCCTCCTGACCCAAACCCGCCAAAACCTCCTCCATCGCCACCGAGGGCCAAGAGGGCCGTTCCGGTCACTGCTGCTCCAACACCGGTTGTCACCAATGCAGCTTGTCTCCAATTGACATCGCTTTCGGAGCTTGGTCCAAAATTTTCAGCTGCAAATGCAGATTCAAAACTCTCATGAAGTTAACGAAATCTAAGTATACATACACCAGCATAGTAGGCCCACTTACAACTGGCTGTGGGTAATATTAGATGAAAGTTGCACATACAGAGATGTTTTCCGTAGGCTAAGATAATGCTTACTTGGAGAATCCGAGTCAAAGTCAGCCATAGCAGATACGATAGAATGCTGGCGTCTTGTACTTCTAGCTTTCTTCGGAACGAATTGTGCTGCAACATCTTTGCGAGTGTGCACAGCTCCTTGAACTGGGCTCAGGTTATTGACCGCTCGTGCTTTCCCAGTTGTTGCCACACACCTAGCTTCCCATCAGGCAACGATTATTGAAAAGTACAGAGGAAGAAGGCAGTCTAGCATGTTAGAAGCTAACGAATAGGTGCATAGAACAATAGCGAATATAATAAGAATTACAGCGATACGAGACCAAGGTTGAGGGTTTTGGGACGACTTCAGTCGTCGCAAATGCTGAGAGGCTCGAACATAATCTAATACTCAAACCCTCTCGTACCTAACGATATTTTTCAATTCAATCACACTAACTATTCGAACCCTTGTGTCTGCAGCGCGTAAAATTCGTGATAATAGAGAGCAGTCTAAATAGTAACACAAGAAGAACCTCCAGCAGCAGTCATATCAAGCAACGATTTTGGATTGCAAGAAACGCAATTAGCAAACCAAGAAAAGATTGACATTTTATTACTCGTAATACGAGACAAACTTACCATTTCAGCTGAATTTACCCCTAAAGCATCACTGCCTAGTTCCGTCAAGACCAGCAGGCGAAGTATGGCACCCATTAAAATAACGAAGAGGAGCACCAGCATTAACAAAGAAATAAACGCAATCGCCTTACCCCATTTTCGAAGTATAGAAGCGACTGAATTCCATGACTCATATTTTAGGGCAAACCGTCGACGCCTTGCATTGAATAGTCAATACCCATCTCAATTCCAACACCCTAACATTATCATAACGTGGACAACCGAATCACAGCTTCGAAAAAATGAACCCTAATAGGTCCACCTCATCACGCGCTCCCACTGCCCCAATTGCTGATGAATTCACCTGAACACAACGAACAAAAGAGCCGCAATTCTTACCTCTGCAGGGAGCTCTGTTGAAGAGAAGAAGCGGAGGCGCGAGGCGTCGAGACGGCGAAGTGCACCGCAGCGTCCATGGCTGATAGGTTCGGATTTCAAAAAATCCAGAAGCCGTCTGGTTCTGGAAACAAAAACCTTCGTACAGAACACGATATGGCGCAACTACGGCGCTCCGCTGCAGATGAAAACGAAGCAGAGTCACGGATGATAAATGCGGAGTAATGGGATATTCCCGCTCGTGGATGAACCGCGTTGATTCAAGGCACCCTCGAACCGCGGGGGCTTCTCAGGGGTCAGACAGACCAACGTGGTCAAGCAGCAACGAAGCCCGAAATAGGAAGCTAAATTATTTGTGGGCTTTACTGGGCTTGCTGTGTTGCCACAGAATTTTTCTCGACGTTTTTAGATGTGATTGTGGTCGTAGTTTCCTGGCATGAGTTCCACTGTAGTAATCAATTTCCTCTTGCTTCCCATGCCTTAGCCGTCTCTTTTGATGCGGTTCTCATACAGGATTTCTCTCGAAGGTTGTTGGTGTGGATACTGGGAACTCAAATTTGTGTAGATCTAGAGGTTTGTGGGTGATGGAAGCTCTTTGAGTTGCGAATGTACAGCGGAGTTGGGTTGGGCTGCAATTCGAGGCAATGCGAGTGCGAGAGAAGGTGGTATTCGGGTTTGTTCGAGTTTCGGGGTAGTCGCTGGTGGTGGTATGGTTGCGCACGCTGAACGCTTTGGTTGCGGGATTAATGTTCTGGAGTTGAAGTGCTCGTGTTCGTTAGCTTCGCATTTTCGTAATGCTAAGCGGATCTGTGGCGGGATGGTCGTGATGTGGAGGGGGGTGTTTCATGCGTGAAGGAGATTGAAACCCTAATGAATAGTTTGAGAAATACCAGAAGTGAGAGAGAGCCGTCGTATGGACATGCATGCATTGGATAGAGATCCGTGCACAGCAGTTAATGCGCAGAACCTTGCAGAGGATTGTTTGATGTGAACTTAAGGACTTCTGAGGCGGTCTGAGAATTTGACGGAGGCGAATGCACAGCTAGATTTGTATTCGAGCTTCACGACCTTTCTCCTGGTAATTCTAGACGTGACCTCTTGAGAACAGAAAAGTCTCTGCAGGTGCATGATTGAATTATTGGCGAGGGAGGGTTTCCCGGTTAATTTTCCTGACGAAGATTCTTGGGGCAAAGTGGCCGCGGCCAGTTTTCTTGTCACCCTGGTAAGGTGTATTCGTTTCCAAGCCTTCAGGTTACTGAGAAAGATTGTTCAAGGGCTGGCATGCCCTCTTCTAGCGCCATGACCGAGCGACTACCATCAAATACTGAAGCAAGCACTTCAAATAGTGCTGCTTACATAGAACACACTGTTACTAGGCTCGACACTCTGGCTGGCGTTGCCATCAAATACGGCGTTGAGGTATTCTTGGATCTTCAAGAAAATTGTAGCATCAGCACTCAGAATTTCAAGAACTTGTGATTTTTCTGTTGAGAAGGGTTCTTATCTGATTCTTTATGAATTATTTTCATCGTGGAAATGTATCCTGTATCTCCAATGTCGCTGCTCTTCGCGTAAATTTGCGAACCTTGAAATGTAGCGGCTGTGTTTCGACGTTCACTATGCTTTGACTGCAATGTCATTGTATGTGTTGGCAATTGATGTTGTTTACTTGACCTTAGGTTCACGACTTGGGCTCTGATTTGCAGGTAGCAGATGTCAAGCGTTTCAATGGGCTTACCACAGATTTGCAAATGTTTGCACTGAAGACACTACGAATACCAACACCAGGGAGGCACCCACTTTCAGCTGTACTGTCAAACCCCAGTCAGTCGAGGTTAGTTTGCTGTTCACTTTCTCGAGTACTAAATGGTTGTGCTAAGTTTTGAAGAATCTGGCTGCGATGAACTGGAATCTAACCTCCTCCCCCCCCCCCTCCCCCCTTCCACACACATTGTGGTGTTGTTTATCTTCATGTTCCTTTCCGGTGGTTAGGATATGAGTAATTGTCAAAACATTGAAGCTCATTGGTTGGCACTAACGGGATCCATCACGTCTTACAGATGTGATGATTTTGCACCCAGTGTTCGTCCCTACCGTGCTGGAAGCTGCGACGTCAATCTCCCAGGCAGCGGTATGCTCAAGCCATGGGAGAAGACACAGGATACACCAACAATGGATTTATTGAGATCTTATTACGGTCTACCTTCCTCATCGGGAAGAGTGGGAGAAGGCCTCGAAATGACCACTCTCTACTCTGACAGGGCAATTGACTTAGATGATGAAGTATTTCTTCCCATGTTTCGCCCTCCACATATCGCCGACTCTCAGAAGCACTGCTCTGGGGATTACAGAACTAATCGCTGTGGCTACGTACGAGAATCATGTAACAACCTTCTGGATTCTTGTTGGTCTGCCAAGGCGTCCGGATCTACTGAGTCTAGTCACCTTATGAAATCCAGTAAAAGAATAGTTACAGAAGGAGATTCCCAGAGCAAGGAAAGGCCCATTCGGAGGCGAGCAAGGAGTGAGCTGGGCACTGACGACACGCATGATTTCGGTGAAAGGGTGAATTTTCCGAGGAGAGATCCTGCTTCAAGACCAAAAGATTTGAACCCCATTGAAGGGCCTTTTGGGTCGAGCAGTATGAAGACTTTTGGAGCTGCTCTTTTAGGAGGGAAAGAAGCTGTGGAGGGTCTCCTATCCAAGGTAAAGCTTACAGCAACTCCAACTTCTGCGCAAGAGACTGGTAGACCATTGTGTGAAAGGGTGCCTTCCACAGGATCCTTCAGCATATTGGAAGGTATTACCTCAGCGTACCGTCAAGCAAAAGCTGCCTTGGATTAGGTTGCTGATTACCAAATTTTGCTGCTGACTTCTTATGAACTGAGGGCACTTCTGCATGCTGCAAGCAAAGACTTGGTTCCGGTAGCCGACATTAGTTGGCACTGAAAACTATTGGCTGAGTGATTGGAATCTAGGGTACTGTACCCTTTTCTGAGAATGCAAATAAGCCTTTATATTAGAAATAGAGAATGTAAATTTCCCCACCTTAAGTGAGGTAGGTGCGATTTTCCAGTGAATGATGAGGTGATCACTTCATCTTTTTGAGGTTGAAAGTCTTAATTTTTCAAAAGTTGTTCATGTTGATACCCGTTATTTGAGAACAGTGTGCAGAACTTAGTGCAGTCTAACCTGCAGAGTTCTGTCATGCAACTTTTGACTAGGAGTAGTACGAGATTATTTCACATTCTTTGGCTCATGGAGTCTTCAATGTAGGGAATAAGAGGTTTTCCTCTGCTTGTATTCTTGTCGCATGGAATTATATCTTTTAGGCGTATACTATGTAGAACACTAGGTATGAACTTGACTCAGTATCAAGTTAATCTATTCTGTGAAAGAAGTGCTCAACAAGCTGTTCAGCTTTGCATTTACCTAGATATCTATCTTGTGGACCTGGTCTTAAAAGACGGAGTTTATATACAGTGTTGTTTGGTTTTTGTACTAAAATTCTGCTTGAGTTTTTTACTTCTGAAGGTAGTATTGAGTAGCTGCATTTGAAATTTGTACTGCAAGATCAGTGCACATGAAACATTTGCAACATGCCTCTATTTTACAGTGAAGAGTAGGCTCTGTAGCTAACTATGGGTTAATTGCTACAATGCTGCTGTGAGAAATTCTGCTTTAAAACTCTAGTCGCTGGACACAGACATTTATACAGTTGAAAAAGTACACAGTTGTGGCGGTTTCAGTACACCATCATATCATAGTGGGACCTCAGTTGTGTTTGTCAAAGTTGTCCCTTGCACCAGAAGAGGAACTAGGTCAAATTAACAAGAATACCTCCTTACAGGAAACCGGGTACCCAAAACTCCTAACAAAACTGAGTAAATAGTTGCCGACACCCAAGGCAAGTCATGAGTGGTACTGCCTAGTCCGGCCTTGAAGTATTGAGAAGATCAGTCTTTGCTGCGGAACATCCATCTGAAGATATTCTTTAAATGGCTGCTCACCAGAATTATTTCCTTGCTTCAGAGGTACCGAAAAACATAAGGCACAGTTCATTGTCTTGTCAGCCAATTCTTTTTAGAGAACATACGATTTCTCGACTTAATATTCGAGCATCTCGTTGCGATGTTTTGCCACGTCTCACATCTGTTCGCGTAGCTATCTTTGTATCTTTGACCTAAACAAGAAGATCAAGACATTTGGTACTCAGTTTCAGATGCATTGCTGCAAATACATTTAAGCCGAATTCTCGTGTGAGTGCAGTGTCGATGGCAACTAGCATAATTTTGTAAACAAATCTTCGCGAGGATCATGGGATCAATTCCCAACTATGAGGAGAAAAATCCGAAACTTGATGGAAGTTTCTAATTACCTGAAGTGCCGATAAAAGTCCCCGGTGGCTTCTTCGATCACTGTTCCACTCGCAAACCACGATTGTCATCACCATGCACAGTCAACACATACGGAGGACCAAGCATTACATCATATCATAGAAGTGATTGTAATAACGTAGCATCCATTAGATGCTTTCGCCTCAGTGGACTTTTGGTTGATGAATAAGAAATGGGAAAAATGAGACGCATGTCCTACGACTGATCTACTGCATGGTTCTCGAAGTTAAAAGTTGCTAGTTGAGACTTGAAATGGATATTGACCTCGATGAGGCAGTAAACAATATCATTCATGCTATTAATATCGGTTGCTAAATAAAACTATTGAAATTCTGCTTTTGTCCAAGAACATGACTCTATCATAGAAGTGATGTGATATTGTGCAGGTGATTTGCAAAATTGAGATGGGAAGAGCTCATACAAAATACGATGTAATTAGAACCCAAGTTACATTGCTACACATGTGAGATGAGTATTGCACGAGAGTGTTTAGATTCTTGCAAATTCCGGGTGATTCGTTCTCGACACTGTAACCGTTCCAAAGACATGTGGTACATCAGGCTAATTCGTGGAGGATGAGGAAGTTCAAGTTACGTAAACGCATCCTATGAGCAGCCAGTTATGATGAGTTGTGAGCATTATCACCCCTGCATTCTTACAGAATTGGCCCGATCTGCTTACAGCACGGCCGCTAAGTTTTTGGCAGTTTGAGGGAAGAGCAATTACAGCATCCTGAAACTTCCGCAGAATGGAGTTAGGATCAAGCGATTGTGCATTCATTCTCCAGGTCATTCAAAAAGTTTGAATTCCACCATTTGGAATTCAAAGCTCAGTTTGTCCATTTGCATGTATTCCAGGCACCACCGAATGCACTTCCCTAATACACACTCACCTCAAACCACCGTTCGAAAGCTTTGACACGAGCATCTCTACTCCACAAAACTCCACCGCAGCCAAGCACGCGGGCACTAGTTTGTAACCGTTCTGCAACAACTCTTGTGACCAGCGGTGCCGCACGCCAACAAACGGCCCGGCCAGGCCCGGCCCGGCACTTTGTTCACGGGTTACTTTGTTCACGGGTTTAGGGTGGTAACGGGCTTAGGAAGGCGAGGCTTTCGTGACGGACAGGAGATAATCACAGATTCACTAGTTGGATGAAACCCTATTGAAGACAAAAGCTCATCTGACCACTGCATGTGCAAAAGCTAATTTACTTATTGTTATACTGTGAAAGGTATATTAGTTCATGTTGAGCACGCTTGTTGTTCTAGAATACCATTTTCAAACTGCTTCTGATATATTTAGCTGGAGTAACCCATATTCTACAATAGAAATAATAACAATAATAATAATAATAATAATGCATTGCATTGTCATACTCATGTTATGTTCGCATCCATCTCCATCATCGTCTTCCATCCACATTCACCGACCCATATTTCATTCATTTTAAAATATACTGCTTCATTCACTGCGTATCTCGTCCTTCATCCATCGATGAAACGTTAGGTTCACGTTCATCTGTGAACAGTTGATTTCTCATTCGTCTTTGGGAATATACTTATGTCGTTCATTTGAGACTGAATATACTCTTTTGACTCTTCGCAATTCATAAAATAAATAATTGAGAAAATGTGAAAATTGAAAACTAGGCACAAACGAGGCTTGCCAAGAGACAAAATCCAGCCGGGTCAGTCCAAAGCCACTGTGCAGATTCAAATATAAGTATGACAAAACCCAGTCTATGCGCCGACAAGAACGACGTGGTTAGCCCTATCCGACAACCCTCAGTTGGCTTCCCCTATGCGCCAAAACAATTCGAATAGGAATAGAAGACGGTTATTAAAAGGCCAGTTTGGAATGAAGGATTCAACACATCGGACAAACACGGCAACAATGGACTCGTGCGAAACGGCGCCAGTTGGGGCCGCGCTCATTCGGGATGGACAAATGCATACACATCCGTATCGGTGCTGTAGTTCATTCGTCTTGGACCCCTGCTTTAGGTCTCGGAGGCATTGGCTTCCAAATTTGTTACTGGCTTTCCATTGGTTTTCCTGGATATCTGAAGTATGGGAGAATTTAATTATAGGAGCATTGGGAGTCTGTGAGGCTTACATATGGAAGTAGTATGTTAAAATAATTATTAATAGATCTAAACTAATGATTTTCTCAAACTTTAATTACGAAGGGAGACAGAATTCCGAAAACATGGAGGAGCTGCCACATCACACAAACAAACAGTTTGGATGAAGCTGTTCGGACGGGATACATCTGCTGGATGAATGAGTTTCACAGCAAAAAGCCGTATGAGGTACAATAACTGTTGATAAGACTTGACCGTGATATACGTATCAAATCCAGAATATATTTAGGGCACAGACAACATCCGACGGGCAGATTGGACCACACCCGGGTAGTTATGATAGAAACAAAAAAAAATTGAATCGGCCCGTGAGATCGATACTAATAGGACAATACTTTGTGGAGATCGCGGCCATGGGCTCCGCTCTGGTCCCTGATTAGAAATCATTACTCGAGTTATGCGTGGAACCGTCGCCGTGGTGGACAAGCCTATCCGTAGCCTTGGGAGACGTGGACTCCACGTGCCGGGAAAAAGCCATGAAATAAAGTAAAAGTAACATATCCATTCACATATAATGAGATATTGTTCACTTTTTGTTGCGTGGTTGTCACATGGATTTTTAAATTGTGGAGTTTTATAACAATGCTTTATATATACATATGTAATGAATAGCGATTTTTACATAATCTTAATCAATGTTTGTTAAAGAGGTATACACTATAACAATTGACTACTTTATTTTATAACTATTGGATACAAAAATTATTATTATTACACAGAGTGGTTTTCTATTGCCATCTAGTTGTTAGGCATGGTCTAGAAAATTACACTTTAGAATATAGTGGATACTTTCTATTTTATTTTTATTGAGATTTAAGTATATGGTTAGATCTTGGTTTTGACCAAAGGTAGCCAACCCATTGTTGACCACCCCACATTTCCAATATATAGAGGCCTACCTAATTTTGTTAGTTCGGTGACTAAGTTTAACATTTTATTGATCAAAAATAGGTTGGGGCGTGGTTAAAATGATGTTAAGCTTTGAGCAATAAACTAAATTTATTGTACTTAGAATGGATATGTATGAATTATCAATAGATGGTAGTTGTTGATTGGTTGGGGTAGAATAATAGTATAATTTGGTACTACACTCCTCTTGATAGCATTAATAGAAGCCACACATCTTGATTTTGTAAAAATTGGATTCTTAATTTTGTAAACCACACTAGTCAGAATTGGGTAGGCTCATATGTCCAAAATGGGTTGAAGAGAATCTTCAACTAAAACATTTGCAAAATTTTCATTTTTGGACGAAATTGTGTGAAATACTTTGAATCCTCCTCATTTCTATTTCCCCACATGTTTGGATATTTTTATTTTATTTTACACTCAATGCAAATATGCTGAAATGCTTAAGTTATCAAAAATGGGTCGTCTACCTTATATGTCATTTTGTAGAAGCATTGTTGGTTTAAAAACATGAAATATATCCTTGGCGTGAGTAAAGTAATGGGTACCTTGATACGAACGAACGAGGGCGTACAACAACAAACAACAACACCGTACAACGAAGTCCTCCTGTGATGTCCAGATTGCGGCGTGTCTGCAAGTGGATAAGAGACGAACAAACAAACAAATAAACAACGCAAACATAACACATCTCCTGTCGAAGTACAACTTCGACGACGACGCGTTGTGGGTGTGTCCGATCCAGCCCGTCTGCTGCATGTGTTCTATTGGTTTACCGTTAAATCAGACCCTTCCTTCAAGTTGGTGGCAGGATAAGCTCCAAACTCGCATTCACCAGGGTTTGACCTGTGCGAGTGACTGGAGCGTAGGAGGAGAATCGGTCTGTTCAATCATGTGACGCTTGAAGCAGTCCCTGCCGCTCTGCAGTCGGGGAATTCTATAGTGCTCCCTGCGGGGGAGGGAGGTGGGGTATCTGTGCGCAGTGGATTGTGAGCGGATAAGAGCGGGGGGCATCGAAATTCAACTGTGGTGACGGAAGGCAATCGTGGGGCCATAATGGAAGTCAAATCCATGAGCTGTGCGCTGTACCTTGCGAGTTTTTATTATGGCTTCGGAAATCAGGTCTGACACCGTTGCCGCAAAACAAGACAAGCCCAGGTCGTTATCCCTTCTTCGCTTGCAGCAGCAGTAAATACCAGCCTTTGTGTCGATTAGGGTTTGCATTCAAGGCCATACATCACGCTTTTTAAGAAAGCTTTTCTCCGAGGCTCTCTCTCTCTCTCTCTCTCTCTCTCTCTCAAACCTTCCTTTTGTTTGTTTTTTTTTGACACGAAGTGGGTAGATCTGTGGCATTGATGGAATAAGAGAGGTATAACAACTCACCCTAAGTCCTGATACCCAGGGCCTGCACACAAATCTACAGAGTACGAATTTGGGTGAATATTGTTTAGTGGATTATCATATATAGAGGATGATTTTTTTATTATTTTATTGTATTTTGGTTATTTTTTGACACCAATGAAGTACATACAATGCACTCCCATTAATTAATGTCGTTTGTTGCATGAGAAATGTTAATTATTAGAGGTTAATAATCATTAAAGATGGCATTGTCATACCATAAACTAACACAATAAATATTAATTAGTTAGAGCTGTAACATGCTATAGTTTCTTGATGTGTGTTTTAGTTATTAATTAAAATATGTAAAAGAGGATTAGGTCTTCGAAATAATTAATAATTTAAGTGTCAATTTAAGAGAAAATTTGGTAGACATGTTTTTAGTAACTTTATAAATAGGCGTGCAAATTTTAGTAGTAAAAAGTGCTCTGGTTTGTTGGCAAAAAAACTTTAAAAAATGAGGAGTCAGACTTCAACCTTGTATAATTTAATTTGTTGCTTTTTGGACATCAAGTGGTGGCTAAGGGGTTTTACTTTTATTATTATTAGTATGATTGTGTTTTATCTTGTGTTTAAAAAGATAAATATATAATTCAGTGTTAAAAATAAAAATTATTGGTGCACTCTTTTCAATACTAAAGCCATTTCTAATGTATCAGATAACTTGTAACAAAAGTATAAGTAAAAAAAGAAAGAAATCAAATATTTTTGAGATAAGAAAGAAAATCATTTATATTTATGTTACAAATACATACATGTTGAAGGAACAGAATTACTACTTGTTTTGATGCAAAATTTCAGTCTTAGTAATTCCAATACATCAACTCCATGATACTTTGATTGGGATTTTTTTTTTTTTTTTTTTTTTTTTTTTTTTTGAGGACATAGAAGTGATATAATTTCTCAAATTATATATTCTAGCTCATTTTTTTTTCTTCTTCAAAATGAACAGATTTGAAATAGAACACAAATTCGCAAGTTCCTCACTAAAATTAAAAATCATACAATGTGTTAAAAAAATAAAAAATAAAAAATAAAAAGTATCATAAGTTGGGAACAAAGTGACTTGGATGTTAAGATGTTTAAACAATATTTATCATATAGTTTTGTGTTTGGTGATGGAATAATTTCAAATATTAATGAAAATCAATCAAATTCCAACCTACCAATCTTTGTGCAATAATAGCATGTTCCATTCTCTTTCCCAAGTGAAAATCAGAGAGTGTTTTAATATTTCAAGTTTCAAAACATGACCAAAAAAAAACAGCAAAGGAGAAGAAGAAGAAAAACAGAAGAAGATATGATGTATGTGTACAGGGAAATGTGAATGAATGTTTTGTGTATCAACATTATATTGCCTCCCCTCTGGACACGAGAACGAACCTCAAATATCTTTGAATAAGAACAGTATTGGTTGTTGCTCCCACCTCTAAATCATATCAAATCCTTACCCCCCCCCCCCTAGTTATGGATTTCTGAAGGTGACTACTCTTTATTATTAAACACACCAGCATTCAGTAAGCCAACTGGGCAGTCACAAGTACAGTGGATGGGAACATTAGTCCAAAGCCCAGACCCCAAATCCGTAGAAGGCCCCATTGACCAGAAACAACAACAACAACAACAAGAGAAGCAGAAGAGTTTAGGATCCACAGTGCAGAGTGAGTTAGGAAAGGAAAGGGAGTTCACAGACTGGCAATAATAATGGGGAGGATCATACGAGGATCCTGAAGATCTTCCCTTGGTGATAATAAAGGGGGGGGGGAGAATAATATTCGTGAGAAAAAAAAATTGAAACTAAAAAATAATATATATTACAACACCACTGGAATTAGCAGCAGAAGCAGCACCGCAATGAACGAGATACCGCCGTAGCCGCGCGTTAGAGTCTGTCTGTCTGTCCAGCTCAGCACAGAACTGATCGTCATGGCCCTCATGCCGGGGCTCTCGTCGACGTGGACCCACGGGTGCGGGGCTATGGACCACGCGGTGACAGGCCGCCGTGGGAGACGATAGCAGACTTTCGTATTCCCCCATGGCCAGCCTCCACTTGTGCCCTACCGTTATCTCAGACCTGGGGGAAGGGAGGGAAAGGAAAAATATAGTGAGTTAGCGAGTGAGTGAGTGCGCGTACATCGGGATAGTTGCGACTAGGAATGGCTCCAGCTGCATAACGAACAAGGGGCCAGGTTATGTTTATCTTACAGATGCGTACAGCGGCTTTTTGGAGGTGGAAACCGGTCAATTCTAGAGGCTTGGAGCTGCGAGCTTGTGTCGAACCGGATTTACTTGGAGCGTAGTGCGGGCTCGTTGCGCAGTCATGCAGGAGCTGATGTAAAGGGATCTGGTTATTTTCTACGCGCTTGGTTGCCAGGAAGTGCGCATTGTGGGATTTCTTTGAGTGAAAGTAAAAGGGGGAAAACAAAAAAAGGAAGCTCCGGACGATGTGGCGGTAGTTATGTTGGATTTCCGTATTTGTTGAGGTGGATGGGGGAGGTAGGTATCTGGATATGCTTAGAGTTGAATGAGTGCCCCTTGAATCATTTTGGCAGTTCTGCCTCGAGAGATTCACAGTCAAAGCAAAGCAAGAAGGTGTACCGATCGACGAGGAGAGAGTGTCGGAGCGGGTGCTGCTAGTGGGGGAGAGCGAGCCGAATGAGGTGAAGAGAAGGGCAAGAGGCAGAGTTTTAGTAGGATCTGGATATTCGTTTTGTTCCGGGCTGTTGCTCTGAAAGGTCGCAAGGAGAGGGAACACGGCACCAGCAAGGTCGGTGAGCGGAGGTTAGATAGACACGCCAGGAGAATGCGAGTGTTTGTTTTGGCGGGCGAGGTCTGGAGTTAGGCATAGTCAGAACAGGTAAAGTTTCGCATTCATGATGTTGCTTGTTAAGTCCGTCGATTGTTTTGTCTAAGATAGCAGTGAGTCGCGTTAGTACAATCAGCTCTTTGTTAGAAGTGGAATAGCATGTTGTTTGCGTTGCGTCTTAGTCGATGCAATTTATCTCTCTCTCTCTCTCTCTCTCTCTTGTTTGGATCACTAAACTCGTGTACGTGAGTACGATCATGCGACAAGGATGGGAAGCAGTGCATAGAGGAAGAAAACGAGTTGTTTTTGTCCCGGTTCTGATTCAGTGTAGACAGTGCATCCGAGCGAGGAGTTATTTGTTTATTTTGTTTTGTTTACAGAAGTTCTTTTATAACCGAGATGTTTGATTTTACAGCCGTCGTCTTATTTGAAGTTTTGTGAGCGTCATCGATGAGTTATTCCAGTCGTTTCGGGCCGCTATTAGGATCATGCCTCTACGTATGTCTTAGTTGCGAAGCTTTTAGCTCCGTCCAGAAACTCGTGCATCTTTGACGTTTTAGCGATCTTTGGCAGGGGTATCGTCCTTCAAGGAGGAAGGGTTATTAGATTCCCTGAGGGTAGGGAGGAGGTAATTTCCAGCATACAGGGATGTAAGCCCAAAGCAGGAAATTTGCGGGAGCTTTAAGGACTTGTCTTCTAAAGGGCGCATGCTTCCTGAATAAAGCAGAAGTTTGCACAACGATTCAGGGTAGTTGAGGAGGTTCAGGAGTCTGATTCATTGTACACGCTAAGAAGCTGCCTGTAACATTGGCCCTCTCTTACCTGACCGCCGGTAGCAACCAAGTTCTCGAGGTCTGGACCTTGCACGCGAAACAATTTGGTTGACAATACTGGAAGGCCTCGTGTAATTCTTAACTGGAGATGTTCGCCTTTTGGCGTTCGTCTTCGTCAAGAGTATCTTTTATCTGCCGCATCGCAACTTTGGTGTTTGAGATAGTCACCTATCTTTAAACAGCAAGGTCAGCTTTCCTTTGTTAACAATGGACTATCACACAGCTATGGACGCACGGGACTTGAGATCTAGGAGCTGCGAAGGGTGTGGAGGGGTGCACTGCTCTCTTTTTCCCGCAATGCCAATGTCTGCATCACTCGCAAACTGTGATATGGAGGCTCTTGTGCAGCCGTCCCCTGAGCAGGTCGAAGCTTATGAGCTCTACTTGCATCTACCTGAGCTCACTCGGCTATGGCGGACGAAGCTTTATCCGATGTGGAAAAATGAGATCATTGTAAGACCTGCTCTTCACAGTTTAGAACTCGTCTTTCGTATGATTTCAGTTGTTCTATGCGACACGAGGCCATACATAGACCGCGACGAGTGGCTTCGGAGATTGGAATCACTAGCAAACTTGCAGTTGGAAATTCTATCTTGCATCGTAGAAGGTGATGATAAAGCTCCTACATCGAAGCTCTCTAGTAGCAGTAGCTACGTTGGAGCCGAGTCAGTGGTGTGGCACAAGTCTGGATCACGGCCTGTTGTGAGCAGAGTGAGCAAAGAGAGCTTGCTGCCTCGTCTTGCATCCTGGAGGACGGCGCAAAACGTTAGCACTCGGATGCATTTCGCCATTGAAGGTCACCTTATACGCGCACCATTCACTCTGGGACTTGGCGAACTCAATCTTTCTGGCAAGCCGGTGTTGGAGTATGATAAAATTTGCACACCTCTAGAGGTACATTGCTTTAGCTGAAACATTCGCCTTTAGCATGTGTTTTGAATGAAAAAAGTTTCTTCGACACTCTTCGGGATTGAATTCGGGTTGCGTCGGTGCTCCTGTAGGAATAAGATTTTTTAGAGTGGCGTTTTGTCATCATACTGTGTTCGAGTTTTTGTCTCCTACTTGCTGGTTGCGCTTCAACGCCAGAGTCAATTTGTTTTGATGTTATTTCTCTCTAGATAGTTGATCTGTGGTACAGGTCGTGAGGGCTCGACGTTTGATAGAAGACACAAGATTAATATAATGAATATCAACCACATTGGTGACGGAATCTTGTTATTCTTATCAGTTCTTATTAATGTTGTATTGATGAGGCTCGTACGAACTGCATTTGTGACGTAATGGGGATTCTTCAGTACTTCTACAGTCATTCTGTCAAACAACTAGCCTTAGAGTGGATGATTTGTTTTGAGTATCGGAGATTGCGCTAATGCTAGCGTCGCTTCAGTACCCAGAAGACTTGTAATGTTATCGTTAAATACTTTTTTTGAGAGAACCTTACGGAGAGTTTCTATTTTAGGTTTATGCCTGTAGACAATCCATGCCTGGACATCCTGAGGATCACACTCTTTCGACTGTACACCAAATAATGGAGGCATGGTTGGAGGTAGCTTCTGGTTTGCTGCGGAACGTGGAAATGATGGTCAAGAAAGGGAACTTCGAATCAGCTGCCAAGAGCTGCAGAATCGTCGAGCGTGTGTGGAAGCTTCTCATCTCCACTATGGATTTGCTCCAAATAATGGATCCAGACGATTTTATGCGCTTAAAGGAGGAACTTGCGATTTCCCAAGACGGAAAAGCTATCAGCACTGAACACATTGGTGGAGGTAAGACAATTGATGTGCTCTCTTCACATGTAGCGCATACATGTTGAGATTCCTTTATTCAGTGTGTTCAGAAATTTTTGTTCTGATGAATGTTGTGAACTCTTCAGGTGCGTACTGTTTGCGGTCCTCGAGATTACGACAAGTTACCAAGGATTGCAAGGAGCTTAGGCACCTAGTTCCCAAGGTCGTCGGAGTTGAAGCTGATCCCAAAGGTGGTCCAAGGCTTCAAGAGGCTGTAATGGACTTACTTCACTCCCATGGAATGTGCGCTCATATAGTGCCGCCGTTCAAGCGCCCCATGGCTTATCACTCGTCCACAATCCATCTGCTTCAAGCTTTTCAGGCGGTTGAGGCGGCAATTCGACAATTCTACTTTTCATATCAGCAACTAGTGATTGCTGTGATGGGAAGTGGAGAGTACAAAGCCACAGCGCAGACAGAAATATCTGCTGCGGATGCGTTAGCTCAGATTTATTTCGAGCCACCTTACTTCCCAAGTCTGGACGGTGCAAAGACGTTTCTCGGTAGTTACTGGCATAATAATCCAGAACTTGAAGAAGGTGCTATCATGAGACAACTCATGGTTGAGAAAGCCATGCGTACAGGAAGCTTCAGCAAAGCCTCAAGTGTTGCAAATAGTGACAGCGGCGACAATATTAAGAACGGCGCAGATGAAGAGCGAACACAAAGGGTACCTTCCACTTTCGTTATCTGTTTATAAAGAGTGGTTCAAAGGACACTATAACCTTAACAATAACTAGTATTTAACAATTCTGGAAGATGTGGAACGTATACCACTTGTACATGGCAGGTTTAGACATGTACAAGAATGTGATCTACAAGCGGTGAACGTTCCATACTCTTTAGAGTCGGTAGGAACTGGTTTTTCTTCCAGAAGTTTATAATAATTCTTTGCTTAATTTTTAGGCTGTTTCATTAGGTACTCTAATAATGCCCCAAAATAATGTTGTCTCCAAATTTGATTTACGAAGCCATAGCGCATGATTTTGTCCATCGTTTTCACCTTAACTCAAGTGCGTCACACTTACATATGTCACCAGTTGCTCGAAGGAACGGAAACAGCTATCTGCATTTTAGAATTAGAATTTTGGCTGCACATTGGTTGGTCACGACCTACTTATTATTATTTTGGTATTTCATGTGCAGAATGGATCATCTGGGACGTGTGCTAACCATGTAATTGTTATTGTTGATTTTGCAGAATATGTCAGAATCTATAGAGAAGCAGTATGTGAACGCTGCTCTTGCTTACAAAAATCATCACGTGTATCAAGGAGCCATGGGGGCTTGACAGTGCCGAAATCATTACTATCATGAAATTGTTAGCTGTTCCTCTACAAAGACGGAGGATGTTCTTATAGTTGTAGTCATACATGGGATGGTGATAATCCTCACTCTTAGGGTTGATGCCTCGCCATTCAAGAGGTGGATGTTACCTTTAACCCTTCCTACCGCACATACATGCCCACAGACTTGTGGAAAAGGGGATTGTGCCGATGATTAGTACTTCCCACCCTGGTGATGTGGATGAAAAACGCTATGAAATCCTAAAGAATTGAAAGAGTAGAGAACTTGTCTTTGATAGCTCTAGTTTAATTAGGAAGACAGATGGTCGGTAGTGAAGATGCATTGTCACGGGATTTGAGTGTTACAGTACTCTCCTCTCAAGAAGACATAGCTTGTCGTTTTGTTTGCTCATCATTGTGGTAGAAATGTACATCACATTATCATGGCGTGTCGACCTTTTTGTGTATATTGGTCCTAGTGTAGCCAATCTATAAGATTATGGTGCCAAGCACAGACACTGATCCTCATATTATTTTTTTACTTAACTAAGAACTTTTTTCTGTTTTTTCTAACTCATCTCTGATTGTGCTCTGAACTTTTAACCCGCTCAGCTGACATGGCATCTTTTATCACTTGACAATCTTGGTGGTACGTAATAACTGCAGAGGATAATCTCGCTTCCTGTCCTTCGTACTTCTACAGTGGAAATAAACACTCACATCGTGGTCACTGTGTCTCTCAACAGCTGTCTGTCTTGATTACAGGCTAGTTGGTTTGTCGGGGACTACGATCTCATATATCTGAGAAAAAAAGGGCTTCGACAATTGCAGGACAGCCTCTCATGGGAGTTAACTCCCAATTAACCACCCCTGCTCACATCGTATCTTCTATGTATGAGCTCTGACGGAGGGATGCAGTGAAGCGTGGTGCTGCACTCGCCTGAGATTTCAGCCAAAACGATCATGTAAGACGAAGTTCTAACGTTTCGGCTCAGAATTCGTAACACGTATTGTGTCACAATTACCAAAAGCTCCGCTGCAGTCATCTTGCGTCCTCCGCATGTTTAGGTTGTGCGCCCGACGGAGAGGCATCGTGCGCTTGTTGTGATCAGGACTACAGATTCGTCACAAACTGCATGCTGATTTAGCTCCATGGTCCACAACATTCTGACTGTTTTGTAGTGCAATTTACTGCTGCAGCTGACGGTCTGAAGCAAGACAGCAGAAAAATAACCATCCCCTCGATTTTTATATCCGTGACGCCTTTTAACTCTCATCCCGAGCTGCTGCCAATTGGGAAGCCTCTCTGATCGCTTACTGTTGAAGAAAATGGATTTGGCCAGCGCATTAGCATGTCTGCTCCCAAGAACGCTGGTCACCGACTCTAAGCTTGCCCACGTCAAAGCTTCAAACATTGGGATGAGGAGATTCAACAGCTTCAGTTTGATCATAGAGGTTGCTGCTGGCCAGCTCTTAATTAGGATCAGCAGCCAGTAGGTCGAGGCGATGCAGTCAATTTATCAGTGCTATACATTTGTTGGTTTTTGGCGTCCCTTGTTCCACGACCGCATTTTAGCAATGCCACCCTCCATCAATACACATATCCAATATTTAGTGGCTTGTCCTTTGTATTTCTTTAATTGTTCTAGGTGTTTTCACAACCGCAATGCGTTTGACGACATATTTCTTGCTAGAAGTGTTCCTCTCTGTTACGCGATTAGTATTGCAGTACGTAATAGCCTTCTAATTTCCCAATGGCTCATCATCTTCCCGCGGTGGTTCTTGTATCACCTAGATTCTGAGTAGGGTTCACAGATCTCTTGAAAGACTGCCGCAGCTGGCCGAAGATCGTTGCAAGTTTCTTGCAAATTCTGTAGTGAATCATTGAAGCAATTTGCTACCATGGACATCAGTGTGTCAATCACTTAACTCATCGTTGAACACCGGAATTTATTCATAGGTTGAAACAGGTCCAGCTCGTGTGGCTGTTGCGGCGGAGGAGGATTGTTGCGGACATCACATTCTGTGGAGTTCCTGATTTTCATTGTTTGCAGAATTATCACATCTGCGTGGTCATCCAATACTGTTGATAAAACTCCCAAACGTCACCCTGAATGCTCCACATCACCTCACGCACAATATTTATCCCATATCAATTCATCCACAATAAATCACTTCATCTACAATACTTGTCCCACATTATTCCACCCACTAAGTCCAGTATAGATGGTCAGTTTAGAGTTAAGCCATTGACATGTACATCAATGGCATTGTATTTGAATAAATGTAGTTGAGCTTTGCTCACTTGAGTGTATTGAACTTAATTTTTCAATCTACATGGTATCAAAGCCTTGTCAAGGTATAGTTTAACCTAGGTGAGATATTCCTCTATACTCTAGAAGAAATCAAAAACAATGTGAGCTTTGCTCACTTGAGTGTATTGAACTTAATTTTTCAATCTACATGGTATCAAAGCCTTGTCAAAGTATAGTTTAACCTAAGTGAGATATTCCTCTATACTCTAGAAGAAATCAAAAACAATGTGAGCTTTGCTCACTTGAGTGTATTGAACTTAATTTTTCAATCTACATGGTATCAAAGCCTTGTCAAGGTATAGTTTAACCTAGGTGAGATACTCCTCTATACTCTAGAAGAAATCAAAAACAATGTGAGAGTAAATTGAAAGAGGATTGTAACAAAGCTCAAAAACAACAAGTCTTCAAATTATGAGGTAGGGGACTCAAACAAGTTGATAGGAGATTTGAATTACAATGTTTGGAGGATCAAAATGATATTAGTCATAAAAAGAGAGGATATCTAGCTGTTAGTGGAGACAAAATAAGTACCAACATTATTTCTTGAATTCATAGTAAGAATGTCTTATAAAGAAGTCAAAATGAAGGAAACAAAGCAAAAAAGAAGAGTTGGATATTACTATGTCTGTTGCAAATAATCTTATATGGTTAATAGTAGCATACAAAGATCCATCAAATTCATGGACTATGTTGAAAAGTATGTTCCAATTAGTTGACCAACAATAAATAATGTTATTCACAAAAAATCTTCATAGCATATCAATGAAAGAAAGAAATGATATTAATACTTATCTAATATTTGTTATAGACATGATGAACTAGTTGAGGACATTTGATAAAACGTTAATAGACAAAATCCTAAACAACATAGTATTCAACTAGTTATTACAAAGTTATGAGATGGTCATATAAAACATCATCTATATGACCAACCCAATATTTGAAGAAGTTATGGAAAAGCTACTTATTAAAACACCTTGTATGACAATCCAATAATAGAAGCTAAGATAAGAAGAAGCACTCTTAGTTCAATTTTAGAAAGCTTTCTTCAAATAAAGAAGAATTCAAAGAGAGAATAACTAATTTTGTGAAGGTTGTAGAGGATGAGGCTTTAGACAAAGTCCATCTCCATATTATGGAGGCTATCAATATCAATGGCATGCAACCCACTACCAAGTTGTTAATGCTTAGTTCAAGGGACTAGCACCAAATGCAATAATAAATACTCCTCCGATAACTTTAATCTTGTATGATCTATGTATATTCTATCATTAGTTGGATCTAAATACTCTGTTGTATTTATAGATGATTTCTTCAAAAAATATTTTATCTACTTTATGAGAAGCAAAGATAAAACCTTTGACAAATTTCAAGAATTCAAGGCTAAGGTCAAAGCAAAAAATAAGAAACAAAATTTTAACCCTATTAACAAACATGGATATAAAATATCTAAGCCACATATTTGTAAATTTCTTGAAAGTCAATGGTTTAAGGAGATAACTTATAATAGCAACTATATCTTAATAGAATGGAGTAAATGAATAAAAGAACAAGACATTGATAGAACAAATTAAATCTATAGCTTTAATAAGCAAATTCCTAGGCTATCTCTAGATTGAAGCCATAAACACCAAAATTACTTAATCAATCTAAATCCAACTTGAGCCAACTATTGAGTAATATAAAAACAAAAATGGAGTAAGAAAAAGCCAACAATAGATGATTTGCAAATCTTTGGATCAATAGCCTTTCTACATATATCAAAAGATAAAAGATCAAAGTTTGATAGTAAATCTTTGAAATATCTCTTTGTAGGCTATAATGATTAAACTAAGGCATATCAAGTGTTTGATCCAATCACTTGTAGAATACATGTAATCAAAGGCACAATATTTAACAAAAATCAAATAAGATATGATCTTGTAATAGCAAAACAAACTTATATCATGGCAGCCAAAAACATTCTATGATATCTAAAAGAAAGTTTCAATTATGCAATATTATATCTATCAAAAGACAAATAAAACTTACTTATATTTGTTGATGGAGATTGGGTGCAAGAAATTGATAGTTGCAAGTCAATCTTAAGTATCTTCTACAAGCTTAGATTGACATCCATTCTTTGGTTAAATGAATTACAACCTACTTTATCATTACTTTCTATAGAAGTAAAGTATAAGATACTCTTTGAGATTGCTAGAAATATAACCTATTTTCATAGATTGCTAGGGGAATTACAAATTAGTGATACATAACTAATTCTTTTAAAGGTATAAAGTAGTTTTATGCAACATCAAACTAGTACAAAATCTAATAATGCATAATAGAACTAAAGACATAGACATTAAACACTGCTATATTAGAGAAAAATTTGAAGACAGAAGCATCATAATAATTTACATTCCTACTAAGTATCAACAAGCAGATGTATTTACTAAATCTCTTTCCAATCTTCAATTTATTCACAACATAACATTAGTTGGATTTAAAAAAATGCCAACTTAGAGTCTTATTCTATAGACACTACATTCAACAAGAGAGGCACAAAAAAAAAAAAAAAATCTCTAAGCTTTTTCTCATTAAATTAACTTGCACAAGTAAAGAAAAGCTTTGACCTCTTATAAAATCCTAAAACACTTATACTCTACCATGCTGAAATTGGCTATCTAGTTTCAAAAATTTGACCAAGATGCATAAAGTCTATGAATCATGCCTTGGAAAATTGCATAAAACTACTTTATACCTTTAAAAGAAGTTACAAAGTTAAAGCAAAACTCCTAATACATGGGCATATCATTACTCACTGTAATATCTTGTGATGAAATTATTCTAACAAAAGATAGAAGAGTGCATTCTTGTAGTAAAGTTACTTCAACCAAAGTCAAAAGAGTGTGTACTTGTAATACACTTGCTTCAATCAAAGATAAAAGAGTGTATTCACATTTCTCTGTAGCTTCTTCAGTTCCATCAATACTCTCTTCTCCAACCAATAATCTACCTTATCCCATAAAATCTGCAAGGCCTGTAAAGATCTTTAGAGATAGCAAGTTGCAAGCTAAATCAAGAATTACCAACAAAAGCCATAAGATGAGTAAAATTAATTCCATTTGCATTGAAGAATATCCACAAAATTAGACAATTACTTTATAATTAAAAATTCAATAGGTAAAACCAAAAATTGTATTGTAGGATCAAAAGCTCTTGAATAAAACCCCTAAGGTGCTCCATTAATTGGACCATCAATAATACAATGAGATGAACCATCAAACACCTCATAAGAATGTCGTCACTATGAATGTTCTACATCACCTTGCCCACAACACTTATCCAATATGAATTCATCCATAATAAATCACTTTGTCTACATTACTTGTCCCATCCATAATAAATCACTTTTGTCTACATTACTTGTCCCACTAAATAAGTCGAGTATAGATGGTCACTTTAGGATTAAGCCACTGATATGTACATCATACTATAATGCATTGTATTTGAATAATTGTAGTTGAGCTTTGTTCACTCAAGTGTATTGAACTCAGTTATTCAATCTACAAATGCTTTCCATCAATGAAGAGCTCAGCTCACTGACTGCTATCGCCTTTTCGTCCATGGGCAACGCTGATTTTGACCGAGGTTGGTCATCGATGTCTGTGATGCGTAAGATTGTCATGTTTAATCCGTTTCTCCGTTTCTGTAGGTAGTTTGTGTGTGGGATGACACCCCTGGGGAAGTGACTAGGAGAGGGCGATAATTCTATTTCGTCGTGGAATGTGTTCCATCTAGCTCAAGGGAAGAGAGTGTCCGTCGCTGGGATGTGTCAGAAGCACAACTCATCTTTTCACTCTTCACTGGGACGTTGAATCTGTCTGAAGCCGTCGTGCGGATCACTTTAACTAGTGGTAGGTTCCTACTGAGAGCTTAGCACGCGTGTTGAGGTGGTTAAGAAGCTGATCACTGCGATTTGACATAAATTTGAAGCTCTAGGAGGAGATTGAGTGAGTAATGTAGTTCCATGTACGCACGATCTGAGCAAGTGGGGGATGAGGTTTCCAGTACTAAAAAACGCAATTGAGATAAGGGTTTAGGGTTCAGGAGTTGGAGGAGGGTAGCGGAGATGGAGGGTCATAAAATGGCCGTGATTGCTGCAGCTGAAGAACTCGTTCAGAAAGTAATGGGCACCTGGGATTCCTCTCATGATCCGTTTCACGCCTTCCGTGTTCGCGACCTTGCCCTCTCACTTGCCTCTGAAGAAAACATCCCTCCTGACAGCCTTCTCGTTGTAAGTTGAAGGTCTTGTTTCCTGCGTGCGTTTCATATAGCTCGCTTTACAGGTTAATGCGCTCAGGACTTTGAAGACAACGAGACGGGTGCTGGATCCGTGCAATTTCCTTGGTTTCTTTAGGTTGCTAATTGGTCTGTGGTTTAGCGTTTGTGACGGATTTTGTGGATTGTGCAGGTGGAACTTGCAGCTCTTCTTCATGACGTTGGTAGGACATGACCCATGTTACTCCACATTTTTCATTTATGCCCTCAACAATGCCTAGTGTTTTGAAAATTCTAATACTAACACATGGCACCTGCAATGAACTTGGAGTATTCCATATGATCCGCTTCTTACGCTCTAGAAGGCTTATGAGAGTCTTGATTAAATCGATGGAACGTCATTACTCTTCTGAATTGTAGCGTCTAACACTTTCACTGTGGGATTGATTCTTGTAGATGATTATAAATACGCCGCCAGGTGAATCTACGTCAGGCTTTTTCCATTCTGTTCAACTGTAGAATGTGCTTGAAAACGTTTCCATTTGCAGTTTATTGCTAGGAATCTCAATTTGTCTCTTACTCTAGATTATTCTGTATTGCAGAGGCGAAAAAGCGCTTAATAATTTGGAAAGCTTTTTGAAGGAACACAACGTGAAGCTTGAAATAGCTGAGGCTGTCGTGAAGATTGTCACTTCCATAGGTAATAGTTCTAATTGCCTGTTTTTATAAGAGTATAATAAATGGGTCTACACCGATGCGACAACTACACAGTCGGGGAAAGAGTATTTGATCCACTAGTGGCGGATGCTTTCCTTTGAATATCTACAAGCAGTTTCCCCCTTTTATGTTGGAGCGTTGACATTTCAACTGACATTTGTATTTATTGACCTGCATATAAGTCTCAATCGCCACTTTACTCTTGGTGCTCGTGCCCAGGGTTCAAAGAGGAGTTGGGAGCAACTGGGCATGATCCAATCTCCCCTGAGTTTGCAGTTGTCCAAGACGCAGACCGCCTTGATGCAATTGGTGCCATTGGTAAGTTGACACCTTCCTAATTTCATATCTCTAAATTTTCATGCAACTCTATTAGATGATCAAGGCTTCCTTGTTGCATCACCTCGAGTTATAGATCACAAGTGGAAGGAATGGTGCTCTATAGGATCAATCTTAAGCTTATTGTTTAGCTGGTAGGGAAGTGATATCTCTGCTTATGCAGAATATGTTAATGTCCAGTTGTTTACAATATTCGACTGAAAAAAGTTGCATATGTTATTTGTAATTGTTTTTAATTGTGCTGTTGGTCTGGTGCAGGGATTGCCAGGTGTTTTACTTATGGGGGAAGCCATAATCGCAGGATGCATGATCCTGCAGAAGCACCGCGTACGAGTCTCACCAAATCTGATTACGCGAGTGGAGATGTACATCCTACCACAATCAACCATTTTCATGAGAAGCTGCTGAAGCTGAAAGATCTCATGAAATCCCAGGTATTCTGAACAAAATATTCTTGATACCTTTGCTATGTCGTAAAGCGTAGCGCGTCGTCTGTATTGGCATTTATTCTTTACTTTGTTGGGACTTGAGTTAATCATACAATCTTATAAGAAAGTATTGATTTTAGATTGATTCATGTTTGTCTTTAACAATGATTAGTGTACTTTATTATAGATTTTTGATGGTTTTTCATGGCTTAATTAACACTTTCTCGTCTATTCCTGCTTGGTACAGGCGGGCAAGAGAAGAGCAAAACAACGACACGAGTATATGTTGTCATTTCTGGTGCAGTTCCAAGAGGAATGGGAAGGAGTATGTTAGTTTCCAGTGGTATCACTCGCCTAAATAACTATGCTCAGGAGATGTAGAATTTTTGCAAGACAACCACATAATCTTGTGTCGGTAAATTCATTTAAAGATTGACCAAGAATTGTCAAGCGTGGAACATGATACGAAATACTTATATTAAATTACAGCGAAGGCATTTAAGTGATAATAATCGAACCAAACGATGGTAGACTCTAGTCTAGATATTACGTAAAATTTGCAGCCCTAACTTGAGCATTAGTTGGTGGAAACATGATCATCCAGGCGACGAAGATGACACAGGCAAGAGGTTTCAATACATGAACATGAGAGCTAAATGAACACCTCCAGAGCACTCTCAAATTCACTAATGAATCATGATACAAGGGCGTTTGGTTCCAGAAAATCTTGAAAAGACAACGCCATATTCCCTCCAGCTTCTCACCTCAGCATGTGAAGGTGGGCATATGGCAAAAGCAACCTCAACTCGCATTTTCGAACGACAGAAGAATGCTTGCAAGGGACAATGAAATAGAATTGGACAATGTCAGGAAGTTTATTGTTATGGAATCCAGAGAACGGCATGAGCACAAGTGAATCCCTGCCACCTGTTATTCTTCAACTTCACAAACTCATTCTTCTCACTCAATTTACCCTCTTGTACCCACAAATCAACATCTCTATTCTAAGGTATTAAAAGAAGTTCAAAGTCATAATCTAGTTGCCACGTTATTGACACAGTGGAATCCTGACTGTAGGATAGTTAAGAAGAGGGAGTATGGGTTGCTTTTATTGACATTTTATTTGCAACAACAATAGTTGGTTTTAACAATATTTAGTGAGTTGCCTTCTAATCTTTTAAGTGAATATATTATTGAAATAAACATGTGTTTATTTTTTGAAATATATTTGAATTATTTTGGAAGAGTGTCAAGGACTAAAGTAGAGCTAGAGTCATTGTTTGTGACAAAAAAATTTGCAAAATTGTAAGCAATTATTATGAGTTATAACATTATTGTTGGATTAGTTTGTTATTTTTTAAATGTTGTATGAAGTTTAAAATGGGGTGTGATAATTTGCAACCTGAAAAAGTGTCTAATGTTAAAATAAAGATTTCTCTATAAATTTGGCTTTTGCTCAAATTTCTTGATTTTCTTGGTTATCATTTAATTATAAATTAAATTCAAGTAACTTTTAAGTGTGTAAGTATTATAATTTTTTTAACTTATAACACAAAAAAGAGATGAAATATTATTGTTACAAACAAGTACATTTCTAAATGAAATATTATAGATACAAAAATTTGTAACCTAAATTTATGAAGTTTTAAAAAGTATTTTATTGATTGAATATATATATATATATATATATATATATATATATATTTAATAATTTTTTTAAATACACCAATAAGATTATTAAAGATATAAATTTATAAAATAAATATTATTTATTAAATGTACTTTATTTTTATTTTTATTTTTTACAACTATAATTAAAATTAGCTATTTTTTTGTCTAACATATAAAATTAAAAAATTAACTTAGAAAAGCTAAAAAGATTTTATACAAGAGAATGCTGAATATACCCTCCAAATTACTATTTCTACCCTCCACTTGACTTTTGGATTGTTCCTAAAGTGCCCATAATACTACATACTAGTACATCTTCCAACACCCTCAACCTTGCCTCTATATCCCCTTGGAGTGCAAAAAATACCATCTACTCAGCTGCAATCTATTTAGAAAAAAGTATATTGGATTCTACTTCTTTCAAATATATTGTACTTTAACCAACTACTACTAAGTACCATATGAGAATACAATATATCTAACACAAGTATGTGCATTTTAGCAAGTCTAATTCCACACTAAGCACTTTTATACACAAGTTACACTTGCAACTTGAGAAGATGCACCCTCTTAGAGTAATTCAAATTGAAATAGATCTCTTTGTGTTGAGAATTTATTCAAGTATGGTACTTTCCTAAGTGCCCATTTATTAGAATCTCTTAGATGTCAACAAGTACGTTGCATTGACGGATCTTCTAATATAAGTGGAAGTGATGCCATTTCTAGTAGCTGATTATATACTTATTCTTGGTGATGGGGTGTGAAGCTTTGATATGTGCCTCTAACCTCGTCAAAGATGGGTCAAAGACTATATACATTTTGTAATACTCTCATATTGTTTGAAACATATCTATGTATAAATCCAACTTCAAGTCTAAGTCATTGGATATTGATAACATTTTAAAGAGGATGGAAATCATCCATAGACATGTGCACCTTTGCTTTAAGTCTTATTTGTATTTGATGGTAATAAGGCAAGTCCATCATAGTTGTAAAAGCATGAGAGTAATCGTTGAGGTCCTCCTTTTTTGAGTATATTTGACTTATTTTATGATTAGATTGAATGCATAGAATGAGATCCATCTTCCAACATTCTTATATAAATTGTGGTTATGTTGGTGACCAACACAAATCTACTCCATGCTTGCTTATGCTTCAATTTTCTTGATATAGTTTTCAAAGGCTTAGAAAAGTTAAATTCGAACATCTTGGAGGTCTTTGATGGAGAATCACAAGTAATTTTTGACCATGGAATACATGCCTTCTACCCAAAAGTTGTTAACATTCCTAAAATATATTACATAATTTGTCGAAGTGCTACCAAGGGCTTCTTGTACATAATCTAAGTTGTCCAAAGATATTGAAGTTTAGCGAGCATACTTATATATATATTTGCAAAGCATATTCTATTGAATGATCAAGGTTTTAATTGTTGGTGATTGAATAAAGTCCGTCCATGGTTATTGAAAAGTTTTTTAGTCTTAATCCATCACAAAATACTTCTTGCAGTTTACAAGAACATTCTTTTGAATATACCGGATAGAAAAAAATAATATAATGATTAAAGATGCTCGTAGGCAAGCTTTACACAACTAAGGTGTGGAAAAAACAAATCTATAACTTAATCAAAATTGTTGATATTATAGTCAAAGTAGAAGTTCTTCTCTTGAAGTTTATCTACGATAGCAAGGATAGGTAGGCTATAACCAAGTTCAGCTTTTCTAATGTGTACTTTTTCATTATGAATGATCTTTGCTATTGCTTGAGTACTTGGATTTCTTTGCCTTAGAATGAAAAAAATATTAGAAGTAATGCCAATAATAGCCATTTGATGCTTTGCTTCATGTTGATGAAGCTTAAGATGGCATGCACTAGAATGTCTAACAATATTGTTGAACGCTTGTCATTGTACTCAAGTTTGGTGACCATAAAGTGATAGAATCCATTTGACTTGTGTATATGTCCATTAAATTGGAAGGTGCAGACAATCTTTTGTGTGGATCCTTTGCAAATTCATTCTAAATATATTATGCCCTTTGATGGATTGTATTTGCCTCTATAATTACATTTTATAGAGGTAATATAAAAAATATGTAATATACAAAATATATTTTATATTCTAATATAATTAAGAAGATCAAAGTATAGCTTTATAAGAGCATAGCCATGGATATGAATAAATGCCTTTACAAAACACATCTCTTCTTATGAGTTGTAGGAAGTTTTGGATAGAAGTAATATTTTTGTATAAAATAGAATAGGATTGAAGGTGCTAAGAGGTGTATTTAGTATTGCGAGTGCTTTAGGAGTAGCTCTAAATTCATGTGGAGGGTGGAAATAGCAATTTTGGAGTGCATTTAGCATTGCACTTAATATTTTATATTTATGATTTTAAAAGATTATAATTTTATTTTTTAAAAAAATATTATAATTTTAATTTTTTTAAATATTATAATTAAAAATATTTTTTAGACTAATTTTTTATAAAATAGTTGTAAGACTAATAATTTATTTTATATTAGAATATAAAATATATTTTAATTATGATATTTTTATGAAAAATAAATAAGCATTTAAATTATAAAAATATTAAAATAAAGATTATTTATAAATATTTATATAATAACCATCCACTTAGTATATTTCTTTAGTTTATTTATTCCAAGTCAAAAAATTATTAATATTATATATATATATATATATATATATATATATATATATTATATAGAAAGTAAATTCATATTTAATAAAAGTAATCAAAAAGTTAATAAGAATAAGATATGGTATCAATGACAAAAACTATGGTAGTATTGACAACATCCTATTTATAAGCAAAATAATATCAACTATCTATATTATTTAATTCTATATTAATATTTTAAAAGTAATAACTTATTGCTCATTGAAAAACTTGTATAAAGTAACAATATCATTAATATTATATAATACAATCATAATATCTATACAATACAACATCTAAAATAATTTCATAGACATTATATAAAGTAATACTTAAAAGAAAATACATTAAAACTTATCAAAAATAACTAGCAACATTAATAAATGGTGATGAACTTAAATTTTCTATATTTCAAAATAAATACAATTAAATTAAAAAGAAAATATCATACATATCCCTAAAATATGTTGAAATATCAAAAATACCCCTGCAATATTCTTAATAATAGCAAATCTACCCTTTACTTTTCTCATAATATCAAATATATCCTTGAACTTAATAACTTATCACAACCTTTCTTTTTTACATGCAACTAATATTCTTAATAATAGCAAATCTACCCTTTACTTTTCTCATAATATCAAATGTACCCTTGAACTTAATAACTTATCACAACCTTTCTTTTTTACATGCAACTAATATTCTTAATAATAGCAAATCTACCCTTTACTTTTCTCATAATATCAAATGTACCCTTGAACTTAATAACTTATCACAACCTTTCTTTTTTACATGCAACTAATATTCTTAATAATAGCAAATCTACCCTTTACTTTTCTCATAATATCAAATGTACCCTTGAACTTAATAACTTATCACAACCTTTCTTTTTTACATGCAACTAGAGCCCAATTTGGGTGCAACAGAGTAATCTACTGGCCCTCTTCTGCACTTTTTGGCACATAAAGTTTTTTAAAAACCCTTGCTTCAGATTCTGGGTCAAACGAGTTACTGGGCCTCCAAAGGGTTTGCATTCGTCCCACTCTAGCAGAGCACAATTTGTTTACTTGAAGAAGGTCAAGGAGTTAATCTGGATATTGCTCGAATTGGGGGTGGTGTGATAATTCCTGACGATTTCTACAAGTTTCTGTCTTGCCATCTTGCAAGAATCAAGAGGCACAAGGAGCTTTCTTTCCACAACCAAAATCACAAGGTTTCGGTAGCACGAACTCGCGTGTACCTTCAGACTCGGAAGACTCTTCCACTCATAAGAAAGCAACACTGTTGAGGGAAGTTTTATAGTCACAATCTTCACCTCTGTCTCACACAAGTTTCGAGAGCCAGAGACAGATCATGAAATCGTGGACGATCCAACTTTCACCAAGCAACGAGCATGGCATCAAGGTGAAGGTGGACAATCTTCACTAGAAGATACTTCAGGGTGTTTTCTTGACACAGTTGGCTCAATGCTTGTTCAGCTTGTGGTTGATATGTCACCAAGGACCCCACCACGTTCGAATGTGCTTAGAATTGCGAAACGACGAAAGGGCACACAGCACAGGGCTCCCTTTGTTTTTTTCTTTTTTTTTTCTTTTTGCATACGGCGGTCACTCGATTGAAGGATACAACACTCACATGGTACTGTTCGGTGGAGTTTTCTGGACGGACATCTCTGCAACATATTAGTGAGGAAGTGTAATCTTCAACTTTGTCAGGATTGTTTTGTGGAGTTTTTAAGTGGCTCGAAGTTGAAGTTTATAAGCAGTAACCTGAAGCACTCGCAAACTTTCAGCCACCTTCTCGTGTAAATGATTCGGGGATTGACACAAGAAGCGGGGGTTTCTCTATTACATAGCTAACTGATGTTTGCTAAAATATTATGCATTCCACTACTAGAGCTGACTACAAATCGGGGTTGACGAAAGAAATGCATTATAGTATTTATCAGAAGTTTCAGTCCTTCTCGGACTTGTTCTCACCACGACCATATAAAGATATGCGGTACTTAGGAACTCGCTCGATAATTATGGCAGAAGCGCCACCACCGCCGTTGCAAATTGAAGCAACTCCAATCTTGAGATCTTTTAATGCTAGTCCAGTGAGAAGAGAGATGATGATCCGAGCATCCGATCCAGCCCCACGAGGGTTCTGTCAGCCGTGACTCACCTCTAACAGCGGAGACAACACAAATCGATGCCACGATCATAAGCAAACATTGCATTTGCGAAAAACTTAAGAAAATGAGAGCCATAGCGTGTGGCGAGCACGGGTCGGGACTCACACATCCAGTGTATCGAATTGTGTTCTGCAAGAGCGGGACGAATGTAAACCCTTCAGAGACTCAACACCTCGCTTAACCCAAAATCTAAAGCACGGATTTTAAAAAAACTTTATGTGCCAAAAAGTGCGAAAAGGATCCGCCTATTTCTCTGCGGCACGCAGGTTGGGCCCAGTTGCACTTTAAAAAGTAAAGTTGTGATGAGTTATTAAGATATTATGAAAAAAGTAAAGAGTAAATGTGTTACTATCAAGAACACAGGGTATTCTTGATATTTCAACATATTTCAGGGATATGTATGATATTTTCCCTTAATTAAATGACTTGGAAATCTTTGACTGCACAAGATATTTTGTTTTTTTCACAAACTAATTTGTTGTCATTCAGTACACTTGCTTGTTTAAAAAATGGTTTATCAAGCTATCAAGCAAGAATTTGATAAAAAAAAAGACTGATTAATTTAACAATCATATTTCAGGTTCAACGAATGAAGTATAAGAATGAAAAAACATGACATTTGACAGAAACCTGCATGAGAAGGTGCCCCAATTCTGTATTCCCAATTTTGACCTAATTTTACACACCCATCTTGAAAACATCACCTTTATCATATTAACAGCTATCATTGTTATCAAGAGATGCGCGGAAATAATTTTCCATCAATTGGTCACACACTAACACCTCCATTGACTGTTCAAAACCTACAATTAACCAATCCAACAGCCGGACAAGGTGAACTCAACCACAAAAAATCTTTATCGCACAAGACGGTAATCAACTCGTTGCATGTAGTAGGAATTCAGATCAGAAATTCAGATCTAAAAACGCCTGTTGAAGGGAAAATCACCGCCACAGGAGCTAGAAAGCTAAAGAAGAGCCAAGCAAGGACATTCAAGCTGACAAATCTATGTAGCTTGGGTGCATTTTAACTTGTTCAATATCAAAACATTTGAAGTGCAGCGTACATGGAATATGAAAAGTTGCATACACCAAGATAGAGATGGAATATCATGATAACTGCAGGGTTGTAATACAAATTCGTTACCATTTTCTTTTTATCATAAAAGGCTTGTTGAGAACTTCCTGGCCCTACAGCTCGTTGAGTCCCTCCAAAGAATAAGTTCCACAAAGATGTGCTGTGTGCGATGCCCCCTGACCCTACATCAGAGGATTCGCACTCATGCATGAGCGCCACTGATGCCCACTGCTGAACTTCCGAGTAAAACCAAAAACTTTCACGTCGTTAGGAAATTGGAACATATTTGATAGGTTCTTTATTATTGAGTGACTCTCCAATGGAACCTCCATAGCTCTTCTTCAACGACCTGATCCAGGTTGAAGTCGGATTTCACAAATCATTGTGCTCTGTAAAAAGATTCTCTAACAAATTCAGGAGTTGTTCACCAAGGAAGAAGTGCTGGCGTCCGCCATCAAACCCCCGCCATAGGCCTTGCCACCAGGAGCCATGCAGCTTGGTAGTGCCAAGCCTTTCGCGGCATGTGACGAAGGACTGTCGGCATTATTGTTATCTTGAGCATGTATGAATGAAATCACTTTGGTTGAGTACAAGGAAGGTCGATTACTGGAGCCCCTCACACCTTCAAACACACTAGGTAACTTGGGCTTTGTAGTCGGTGGACCAAGATCAAGCTTACTGAACTCCAGGAATTGAAGGTCAAGGACATCTAGGAAAAGAGGTCGTTGTTGCGGATATTGTAATGCTGGAGGTTGCTCCTGATTGAACATTTGACGAAGCCTTTGAACTTCCGACTTCAGAGATTCATTGAGAGCTGCACAACCATCAAAAGCGCCACGTTAACAACTGATGTACCAATCAACTCAAACCTGTTCATGAATCTCCTCAGTTGTTTACAAATCCCCTCAGGCTCAACTGTAGTATGTCACAAACTGGAATGTCACCAAAACAAGTACTTTATTGACTTAACTTTGCAGTATCTTTGCCAAGGTAGAATGCTACTGGAGCCACGTTCAAAGTGCGAATACTTCACCAAATTTCGGTATTATAAAAATATGTTTGGTGTACGATACGTTCAAGATGAATTTACCCTCTTTTAATCGTTGAGCTTTTGTTAGAGCTGCTAACTTCTGCTTCAGTATTACATTCTCCACATTCAAGAGTACTCTCTCGTGCTCGTGGTATCTAATCTTAGGCGAGAGCGAGGCGACTTCAGCCTGCAGTAGAAAAATGTGCACCTTAGAGCGGAAGTTCCTTAAAAGTACATATCCAGACCACTACAAATATCGAAATAGTTATTTATTAGCTTGCAAATAAAATGTGTAAAACATTATGTTGGAACACGATAGAAAGAGATTGTGCTGATACTCACTACCTCTATTTTACCAACATTGCTTTCGAGCTCAGAGATGTAATGCAACTTCCTGACTCGTGATCTTTGATCTGACTGCCTGTTGGCAAGAATTCTGGCATTTTAAAAAATGTAATATTTCGTCAGGCACTATGTCCCAAGAATATTAACGAACATACTGACATATGAGCACCAGACTTATTTATATTCCTGAGTGACCTCACCAGCCAGAAAAGCGAAAAAATTCGATTCTGAACACTTGCAACTCAATCATCAACAGCAGAAATCAAGAAAAGTAGTTCAAAATAGTATCCTAATAAAGATCAGAATTGTACCGCTGTGCTGTCTTTGGATCCACCTGATCGGAATCTGTACAACCGTAATGAAACTGTGCTGATCAATCACCATCCTTCACAGCCCGCGCTTCTGAGTTGCTTCTAAACCTCTCGTAACTCATAGCATGTCTATCGTCATTACAACCATCATTGTGGCTGTCACTTCCAGAAGTAATTGAATAATTCTCACAATTTGACGGATTCCAGTTACGAGCTTTACCTCTGGATGCTAACCAACAGTCACTTTTGGAGCTAGAAATGGCTAGAGTAACATGCTTCTTGTCCTTTTCTGCGTTCCAGCTAACCTCCAAGGACCCAGATTTCGCGAAATTAAAACCCTCACGGTTACAAGCTGCTAAATTTTCATGTCTGTGTTGTCTATGATAAGATTCAACACCCCCAATCTTAACGAAATTCTCCCTGTCCAACATAATAAACAATGCGCCACAACAACCAATGTTATCATTTGCTTAGAAAACGGTAATTTTTTGCATCCGCATATTAATTAGGTTATTATAATAACGAAGAGTATTCTAACTACCTCATTGCAGATAGAGAGAAATAAATAAATAAATAAATAAATTCGGTGCTTGTTCACTTGAACTCAAAATTCAAGCAATGAAATGTTGATGAACATAACTCATAGGTTCTGCCAAGGCAGAAGCACTCACCTTCTGCTGCTTTGAGCTCCTCTCGCAACCTTTTCAGGATATGACCGTGGTGTCGCAGGTAATTTACACTGAAGACCATGATGATTACTGGAAAAATTGGGCAAAGATTTCAACAAGAAGATACGTAAGAACTGGGTACACTAATGAAAGCCACACTTCTCATTGGTACTTACAAAGCCTTTCATAATCAACCACTTGGGAACAAGTGCTTCAAGATAGTGTCAACACCTAGGCCGAAAATGAATTCATCAGAAGTGCAACACCTAGCCTCGCATTGCCTACACAATAACAACTTCAACCAGCAAAGCATGCACTAAGTCAAACTCAGGTATTAACACCTTTTCAGCAGCCAGGCTAGTGAACAAGGACGATTGACTACTAAGATTATCCACTCACCTGTCATTACCTGCACTCAAACCCCTTCGATGATTTGGCATGCAAGTAGAAAGAGCTGTTTCCTGACGTATGAACTCGTCCTCTTCAGTTACATTCTCTAAGTAGCTCATAAATTGATAAGAGCTGTCCACAAAGGCGACAGAATCACTTGCTGATCGACGATGTGAACATTTTTTCAATACAACCTCACCATCTGGAGAGCTAAGTCTATCCGAAAGCCATGCTGACGATACTTGTGGGATATGTCCTGCAGGACTTCGCCTATGTGCACCACCTTGGATTGGTAAACTCAAAGGAATCCTAAATCCACCATCGGTCTCGAGGAAACTTGATGAGCTGAACATTGAAAACCCATGAGGGCTTATATGGGGCGGATGAGTGGAATTGCTTGTCGGATGTGCCCAGTTCACTGACTGGCCATGGTGTTCTGCTGCACAAATGCTGTCCATCCAAGTTAAGGAAGCTGTCCTCCCTGCACACATTATTGTACATCAGACAGGAAACTGATTCACAATTTCCAAAACTGAAGCAAGCCCAAAAGTTATATGGAGCTAGATCCAGTGAGAAAGACACTGCAGGTTTCTACGACAAAAAAACATTCCAAATTTGTCCTGCCGAAAACCAAACCAATTAAAATTGGAATACTCATCTTCTATTTCCTGCAAATCAATTCATCTATGTACAGTTATTCAGGCTGGAGGAGGTAGATGTGAGAACCTCATTTTACTAAGTTTAAAACAGATCTGAGGCATAACCTCTCAGGAAGAAAAGCATGTTAGCTTGGCATTCATCTCCAGAAAAACAACGTCTTAATCACTTTTCTTATTTCAAACTACAAAGGATTGACTACTTAGATCGGATGTTTGTTGGCAGCAAAGTCTCCCTGGAGGGTATTAGTGGGATGTATCTGCTTAACCACTCTCTCGGGTGCACATTGTAGCAGATGCAAAATGAAGCTATGACATTCAATTTCCTCTTTGCGAAAGCTACCAGTTCAAGTCATCATGTGTGTGTGCAAGTATGTACGTGTATATATATATATATATATATGAACTGATTCATATTCATATTCTAAAAGTAACCTGTGGAGGTCAGCAAGCACACAAGTATTGCCTATTCAAACATCAAGTGGATAGACATTCGCCGCCATCACCGGGGGTTACCTCGTACATTGATGTCTCGGATCATAACCTAAAACTCTCGGTCGGGATACTAGAAGTTTATGACATCTAGAAATTTCCCAGTCCTTTCTACTATTTTTGTCTAGCCTTTAGAGCCAACGGATGTTTTAAAGAATAACCCACTTTACGAAGAGCTGGTGGGAAAGTGAAGATCTGCTAGAACATTTAGCAAGACCAGTCGCGTTTGGCACGGGTTCCTTGAGCACAGTCCCAAAGTGCAGACGGTAGCTAATTTCGTATCACGCTAGGCCTGATTGCAACTACCATAATTATTCTCAAGAGTCGGTCTCAATGAAACAGACACATTAACCATACAAAATAGATTGCGAGAAGAATAGGGAAACAGGGGAAGTCCAAAGGAAAGAAAACTGGGTCATCGCCTTCGTCTTCGCACTCACGAATAAAATGTACCTCATCACTAGAACAGTACCCACATCAAGCTCTGAATTCTGCCAGGGCTTGGGCATAATTTGTCCTTACATGTGCGTTTAACATCACTTAAAAGAGTACAGGAGTCACAGGAAGACAGCTGAAGCAGTCCAGACTGGTACAAAGCTTTAATTCAGAACTGTGACATGTTGAAGATGCTTCTGCGGATCATTGAACCCTGTCACAATGGAGAAGGACACATGATGTCCGGAGGCAGGCAACCACACATCCCTTCCAGCTCTGTTCCTGCGACAGAACACTAAAACTGGGTTTTGCAGAGATAGTTGCACGTCGCTATTCCAACTCCCCCAGGGTTTACCAGTGCTCCCCAATGCGTTTTCAAATATCCACAACAGAAGGCTTGGAATGCTGAAGCTTCGGCATTTGAAATAGCAGCATGTTTCCAAATCCCAACCAAAAATTATAATCCTAAGCTGCGGTACAATTCAACCCACTTCAGGTTGTGCTTGATGAAATCGAGACAACCGTTGAAGTTGTGGCACTCCGTCACTCTGACAAAACACAACGACGTGCTTATGTTCGCGACCTCTCACATTCTGCGTCCAGGAACTAATAATTCGTATCGAAAAACCTCAATTACAACTCATACCGTGGACGATATCCACAGCACTTCCTTCCAAATCTCAGAATTCAAGCCCTCCATTATGAAGCCACTCATAAATCCAGACAAGGAATAGTTTCCTCTGCACCCATCAATCACGAACATCGTGACACAATCCTCAAGTTTATCGAATCCTCCGCACACAACCATGCATTTTAGAACGTTAACACGAAATAACTCAACGTCTAAGAAGAGAAATCTCTTGTCATGTGTCAAGCCCGTCATTTCACGATCACAAACCAACGATTGCATGGCCGCCGTTCTCAAGCAAACGTCGCCAAAATCGTGACATACGCAGCGATCTCGAGCTTCCTTAGAGCTCGTCGCAAGGTAATTTTTGTTGCAACGCACCGCAACCCAGATAAGTTTGGAAGCGTAGAGGCAAATCTATTGGGACGAGGAGAAAATTGCGCTGCAGGAAGCAAGCAAGCGAGAGACCCAGCAAACCAATCCCCGAGCTCATGCATGCGAGGACGGCTAACACCGACTTTGACCTGCTTGCCGATCAAACCCTAATTCATAAATTCATGCTTTTTGACGATTCTCTATTTATAATAGCAAAGTACAAGCCTATGTTCTCTTTTATTCTTTGTGTATTTCTAATGGTAAGTTCTCATATTGCTTAACAAATTAATTATACAACATTTATTTATGTATTTTAAATCTTTTGTACTTTGTATGTAAAAAAATTTAAGTTAAAGTATTCCTTTATGTTTACTTTGGATTCATAACATAATGTTTTAAAAGATATTTGAAAAAATAAAAAATAAATAAAAAAATAAAAACAACGTTGTTGTAGATTATTATAAATAAATTTACATTAAAGACAATATTGACTAATTTAATGATATTCTTTTATCATATTAATAGAAATATTGGTACATGTACTCATAGTTTTAATTAGTTGAGTTAATTTGCATTAAATTAATATAGTATGACCTAATCAATTTATTTAGTAATATGGATAAATTTATATGAACTAGTTTGTAATGGTTTGAATTACTTAAATTGCTCATACAATACTAAAGCGACAAGGTTACAATCATATAATATAAAATAAATATTATATGATATTATCAATGAGTACGTCATTATGTAGATGTTGTTTTACTTATAGACTTTTTGATTTTTGCAATAAACAAGTGAAAGTTAATTTAATTTATATTCTCTTTTAGAAAAGATTACAACCCTTAGATTGCTTACACAATAGTATCACCAAGCCAAGTTCATTAGTTGATCATTATATACATTGTTATATTTACTTTAAACTATAGTATCTCTACATTTAAAAACTAGTCAAAGATGTGAGGTTGTTTAATTTATTTGGCTATAATGCCAAGTTTCAACACCTACTTATATTAAAGATATTGAAAGATACTATATTCATATAATTTATTAGCAATAATCTTAAACTTGAGCATTTTTTTTACAGTTTAAAGGTAGTTAAAGATATTAGATTTTTCAATTCATTTAGCAATGATATCAAGCTAATGCACCCTTGTTTACAATAAATAGTCAAAAATATGAGTTGGTTCAATCCTTTTGGGAAGAATCTTTCATTTAAGCAACAACTTAGATCAAAGGTTGTCAAAGATGTAAAGTTATCCAATTTATTTGGCAATGATGTTAGTCTTGAGCAATGATTTATATCAAAAGAAGTCAAAGGTATGAGATTGCTCAATTTACTTAGTAATGATGTGAAGCTTGAGCATCTATTTAATCTAAATGTAGTAAAAGATAGAATATTGCTTAATTCATTTGGCAATGACATTAAGCATAGATAATGACTTGAATAAAAAAAAAATCAAAGATGTAAGTTTGCCAATATTATCTAGCAATAATGTTAAGCTTAAGCATTCACTAGTATTAAGATTTTTTTAAAGAAAAAAAAACTTTTTATTGATTGAGATAATAATTTTAAAATTTTACAACTGTTAAATTAAATATTTTCAAAGAAGTGATATACTATATTTTTTTGGGTAGTATAATAAAAATTTAAAAATCTTTAAAATAAAATTTTAATAATGTAGTAATTTTGAAAATAAACTTTGGCTTTTTATGTAATTATAATAGGATTTTAAAACTTCTTTCAAATATCTTTGTCATGTTGCATATGAAATGTTTTGTCTACTAATTCTTTTTTAAGTTGTATCTATATAACATGTTTAGAAGAAAAAATCAAATTTATAATTTTTTTCATTAATACAAAAAATATACTTAGTATTTTTATAAATAAAAATTGGTATTAAAAAACCACTAATATAAATTTAAAAAATTGAAGATAAAAAAAAGAAATACTTCTTATTTCACTAAAATTTTTATTATTTAGATTGTTATAAAATAATCTCTTTAACAATAAAAAAACACAATTAAATCCATAAAAATATTAAAATTTTTATATCAACAATACAATTAATATGCATATAAATCTAATCATAATATAATATTGGTTAATTTTAATAATAAATTTGAATCAATATATATCTATAAAAAAAAATTACAACTTAGATGATACAAAAATCAAAAAAACATTCATCTTTAAATCTTGATCATTTTTTTTTATCATTATGATTATTTCAATAAATTTTATTTAGATAATAATTTAGTAACTTACCATGTTTGATATTCCATAAAATATGTCTACATTCAAATTCTACATTTGTGTGTATTTACACTTTATTTTAATTTAAACAATCCTTCTATCTATGACTCATAATTTATTGTGTATTATAATTATTTCATCCTTGTCTACTTATACCAAAAATTAATAAATTAATGTATCTATTATAAATTCTATATCTTTTTTAATTTTTTTTTTTTGACTATTGGCCCATATTCAAATTGTTCTTTCTTTTAACATACCTTTTGGACACACATCAATACACAAGAAACAACATATGTCTAAAAAAAAAAAAAAATCTTTAACTTTTAAGTTCTAACGCTTAGTTTCAATATATTTCAAATTTTATAGTTACTACTTTTTTCATCTCCATCCAACTCTCTTTCTTTTATTAATTTTTTTTTAAAAGATTTTTCCTAATATCTTAATCTCTTAAAAGTGCTTTCATAACTTTCAAATTCAATAGCAAACAATGTGAAACATAAAGGCATTGTATTTAGCATTTTTTTTCTTAATTGTGGTTAACATTGTACTCTACATAATATTTTTTTCCCAAATAAATCAATGTACAATTAGAAATTCAATCATAAATTAAAAAAATAATAAGAATGAAGCATAAATTATATCTCAACCTAGTTTTATCAACTTGTGCTTGTAATAAGGCATCTAACTATCGATATATTCTTAAAATAGTATATACAAATATAAAACACAATCAATCTAATTTGTTGAAAATATCCTTTTTTATAATTTTTAATACAAGTTCTACCAAAAGAAATATATTATGTATTTATTGGTATTTTATATTTAGATAATAATTATCTTTTAATGCTCCAAATTATAGCACATTTGCTACACTAATTCTGAATAATACTTATACTTTCATATATTTAATCTTTTGCAAACATGTGCAAACTTTGTTCATTGCAAAGGATTTAAGCTCCAACATTCTTGAATAAGCTCAATGAATTCGTTACAATTTAAAAATAAGTTTTTCTTTCACCTTTTTAAACTTTTTCTAATATTTCTTTCATTGTAAGAACATCATAAAATGGATCTTTTTTGAAAGAATCTTAAAACATACTATTGCAAAGGAATAACCATTTGCTTCAAAGACACACATTGTTATTGTTTGATATTAATTTTTTAGTGTTGCAAGAGCCAAGTATTAATAACCAACATACATGATATCATCTTTTATAGTTTTTGGATTGCTTTTAACTTCAATCTTTGACATTTAAAAATCTATTGTATTTAAATTAGTTTGTCAAAAAATATTATTTATAATTTTTGATTCTATGATATGAACCAAAATACTTGCAAGCTTTAAATTACAATGTGCAATATGCATGTTATGCAAGCAACACACCTTTATTGTAATTTGATGCATAATACCAATAAAAAAAAATGATAGATACTTGCTCTCCTTTTAGCATTATGTTACTCATGTTTTTTTATAATAAATTCATTTCCATATATAAATATTTTTTTTACTTATATTATAGGATATTTACCACTTATTATAATTTTACTAATAAATAATATTTATTTAATACTGGAAATAATTTATATAATAAAATAACAAATCCCAATTTATTAAGTTCTGAAAGTCACTAAAAGATTAAAAAAAAAAAAAAAAAAAAAAAAAAAATCTATGTAACAAATTCAATATTCTTATATAAATCTGTACATTTTTTTTTTTTTTTTTTTTTTTTTTTAACTAGTCTTATTTCTTTGACTAAAATTCAAATGCTCCAACATAGACTTGAGATCCTTTTCAAATATTTCTATAAATACCTAGCACGTTTAATATTTTTTTAAATCTTTAATATAATTATTATGTTATTCGATAATGCTTAAAGATCTTAACATCCAAAAATTTCTTAAACAGTTCAAAATTATAAACAATTTTTTCTTCATGAATTCCAAAGTAGATATCATGATAAATTAACAAAACTTATTCTAATATCAATCTATTAAAACTTATAAAAAATTAAAAGTTACATTTGTTTTGAATTTTTAAGAGTATTTATTATAAGCACTTTTATCTACATTACTCTACAAAATATATAGTTTTCTACTCTATATATTGAATCTATAAATATAAGACTAACCTTGTATCCTAAATTTTTCTAAAACCAATATTTAATATTTTTATAAATTATTTAATAATCTAATTTCAATCTATAAGTATAATGTAAACCTTATTAATTCTAAATCATAATCCTAAAGCTTAAATGACCTCTATCTAAAAAAATCCATTCTAAGACTTAAATATATAATTAAAACAATCTTTTAACAACATGCAAACATGCCTTATAATTTATAAAAAAAATGTAATCCATTAATTTTCCTTAATATTTTATAAATTCATATGAATAAAAAATGATTAAATATATATATATATATATATATATATATATTAAAAATTATTTATAATTTATAGAAAATAATAAGAAAAATATATAATAAAAATTAAAAATTAAAAATTAAAAATATATTTTTTCTTTAAAATACACTAAAATTATACTTTTATGATACTTACTACATTATATATATATAAATTTGTTTTTCTTATTCTCTTCAAACTTCTTTTTATGAATTATATTTATTCATTTTAAAATTTCTAATAAATGCAATAAAATCAATAAAAACTTGACTAATCAACTAGCTAGAAAGGAACTTGAAATGCAATTAATAACAAGTTTGGAGCAAGAGTGAGCAACCACAAAGGAGTTAACAGTTTGAGAAGTTTTAATATTAGGAGGATAAGTTCAACAAGATGACAAACTTTAAAGCCATTTATTAATGATATTTTGACTCAAAGTTATTACTTCATATGATGCA